GGAATTTTTATTTTGCGACAACTCCACGCGACTGCTTCGCCAATTCTGATTGGATTTTCACTGTCACATGAATCATAATCTATGTTTAAATACGCAATATTTACAATGTAGAATATCTAGGATACATTTCTCATTTTGCCAACGAGTTTTCAATTGAAGTAGTTTTTTTCAACGTTATATACCTTTTATACTTTTTTTTTTAATGTATGATAATGGAATGGTAACCCCGTTTGCGCGAATGGGTAAAGGGATTGTTAGTAATGGAGACTGAGAATCCCATTGCTAGCAATATACCCAACCAGGTCGACCTCCGCGCGGTTCTCCCTGGAAACTATCATGGTTAATTCCTGATAAGTTCATCATGATGGCCTGTTTTCATTCTCATCTATCACCCTTCACTGGTGCTCCGCCAGCGTATCCCGTTAGCGTAGGCGGGGTTACCATACCATTATCACCCATAAAAAAAAAATTGTAAGAGTTCTCTTCCAGCAAACCCTGAGTGGAAAGGAGCATCAATTACCAGCGGGCAGTATATTCTTTAAGTGATGCAATAAGGGGTAAATAAATAAACTCGACTACAATTCAATAAGTGCATAAGAATGGATTTGGTTGCCATTGTGTGGATTTATACAGTGCCAACTTTATTCTGTGGAATTTTTATTGTGCACTTGTTGTAGAGATTACGCCTTCGTGTGAAAATAGACTTCCACGTATAAAAAAAATAGAGTTTCTCACATACTTCGTTATGAATTTTTTTAATGGGTGACGATGAAATTGTAACTCCGAGTGCTCTCTCGGTATACGCTGGCGGGGTACCAGTGAAGAGTGATAGGTGGGGATGAAGGCAGGTCAGCTGGCCCATAGGGGCCGATTGAACAAGAATTAACTACTATGGTTTCCAGGTGGAACCGCGTGGAGATCAACCTGATAGGGTGTATTGCTAGCAATGGGTCTGTTAAATCTCTTCTTCTTTATGGATTATAATAGAATGGTAACCCCGCCTGTGCTATCGGTATACGCTGGTGGGGCACCAGTGAGGAGTGATAGGTCAGGTCAGTTGGCCTTTCGCAACGAATTCACCAGGAATTATATATACTATAATAGTTTTTAAAACTGCATAGAATCTGACAAAGTACATTATAAGCAATGGGCCCATTAGTCCCCATTACTAATACAACTCCCACCTTGTATCTTATATTTTTTTTAATGGTTGGTTTCCAAGGGGAACCACGTGGAGGTCGACCTAATAAGGCATATTGCTAGCAATGGGGCTGTCAAACTCCATCGCTAACAATTCCTTCCCCCCTCTGTATATGGATATTATATTTGGAAGGTAATACAGCTATTTTTGCAATAGAAACACAAATATTCGCACGAAAGTTATTTATAAGATCACAGTTAACGTCTGATATGATGATGATGATGATGATGAAGAGATCAGCCGACAAAAGCGCAGTTCTTAATGCCTAATTAAAAAAACTAGACAATGTCTGTACAAAGGAGATATTTAAATAAAATTAATATGAGGGTACTTAATAATTTTTGGAAATTGTATTTGTCTGTATTCCGGTATAACACAAAGACTGAGACAGCAAATTGGATGCGGCTTTCTAGGCATGAGTGAAAGTGGAACCGCTGCTATATCATATATATTCATGTTCTCTGTATATCCAGGTTCCTCTGGATCGAGGGAGACTTTGTACAAAAGTCGATTGCTTGGGTACCTCTGTCCCATTCGTGTTTCTACCGTGAAGCAGTTGTGTTTGCATGGCTGTGTTTCGGTTTGAAAGGTGGGATACGGCGTGAATTTACTGGGTACAGAGGAATAACATTTGAGTCCTCAGGAATGGCAACGCATGGGGGGTATCATGGACGAAACAGTACACTCTGTTATGTCCATGTTACTGCTCATGTCTATAGGCGACAGTTACCACTTTCCATCAGGTGGGCCGTCAGCTTGTTTGCCATTCTAAGTTGTATAAATAAAAAAATTGCAGAATTAATGGCGGAAAAAATGGCTATCACCTATTTCAATAGCCTATACTGGTTGGATGTCTACATCTATACTGATCGAATGCTTCATTTCGATATCATATATTGAATAACCGATATTTTATATATTCCTTATTGGGCCTATATATATACTGTAACTGCAATATATAAATTTATAGATATCGTTGAATATTATCTACCCCTTACAATTTGATGTATGTTTTTTTTTAATACGCCGTCTAAAAGTAGATAGATACTCTTTATTGTTTCCTCCAAAAGATTACAATAGTAAACTTATTATAAATATAAACAATTACAAGAAATAATCACAGTGAGAAAACAATGGGCGACCTTATCGCTAAGAGCGATCTCTTCCAGCCAACCTTTGAATGGAGAGGAGTAATTATAAACAGTTTGATCGGAGGCACGATGAAAATTATATTATTTCTAAATATGCAGATGTGATACATGTAATAATGTAAATATATATCCTTACTCATTATTATACATACATACATATACATACATACATACACATACATAAAAATAATCTATTTAATTGGTTCTCCTATTTCTGAAAACCATTCAGTAAAGAGCAAAGAGCAAGTTGCATATTCTACAATCTACATAAAATATTACATTCCTTTGTTCATAGTTTGAACAACAGTTTTATCTACATGTATGTAAATGTGTTTGTGTGTATGTTGGTTGGATGGCGTAACGAGGACGGTGTCATATTACTACGACACGAATTGGCAGTAACCAGATATGAAGCCACAAATTACCTACTGTAATATGATTAAGCCGTGTAGGTCCCGGCATAGAATAGGTCACCCGTTCCTTCTCCATGAGTATTGTAAGAGGCGACTAAGGTAGGACGAGGGATGGGCAGCAGCATCCCACTTAAAACATCACCAAAAGCTAAACTACGGTTGGTAACTCACCTACTAAGCATGGTCAGGTCAACCTCCACCTGATTCTCCCTGGAAACCATCAAGGTTAATTCTAGTTGAATTCGTGAGCTAACTGGCCAGCTTTAATTTGCATCTGTCATCCCTCATTGGTGCTTTGCCAGTGTATACCAATAGTTCTGGTGGGGTTACCATTCCATTATCACCAATTAAAAAAAACATGGATGGGACGGAAGTATCCATGTAAAGGATTTTTGTACAGTCTCCCTCTGCTAAAATATGAGCATATTGAATGTTTAATGGACTTATAGTAACAGTTCTTCCCGTTATGGTGACCATAACACTCTTAATAAAAACATATACATAACATTTTGCTCTGTATAAGTTGACTAACTTATGTAGTTTTTTTTACCTATATACAACAATACTAATTATGGCTAAAAAGGGCTGATTGCAGATTGAAAAAAAAATTACCTATATTGATGACATAATTTTATGTACACAAATCTAGCAAAAAAATCAGATAAATTGAGAATTTCCATCTTTTATAAGTCACTTAAAAGGGTTTATTAAATATTTTTATTTTTCAATAAATTGTTTAAAATTCTTTTAACAAAAATAACAGGGATAAGTCTGCCATTGTATATTAAATCATTTACCAGTTTTAATCTGAGTTATGTACAATAAAGATTTTACAATACAATACAATAACAGCAGTATATAAAAACATTTTATTCTTAATTAGATTTAATTACTTAAGTCTGTCCTATTTCTCATTTTTAATTTATTTTTTTCTTTAAAATTCCTTATTACTTAGATGATGGAATATTGGTACTGTCAATAATAGTTTTTTCTAGTGAATAAAAAAAAAAAATATTTAAAAAAACATATGATTTTTGTAATTGACAATATGTGTTGTGATTGCTTAACGGGACTGCAGTACATTAATATTTATTATTATATTTTTTTTACATATTTTAAAACTTTACCATAACAATACAATATATGGTACAGAGTATTAAAGTCCATTATGTCAAATGTAAAATGTAGACAATGCATGTCTAGTAAATCATATATATAAATATATACTAAAAGAAATGTAAAAAAAAAAACATAATTTAAATTGAATATATATGTAATTTGTTTCACTCTCATTGCATTTGGTTGTCTGGAAGAAATCTCTTTCAAGGATAAGTCCGCCTTTGATAACAAATTGATAAACTAATCACTGTACCTTTTTTTTCAAGTACAAAAAATATAAAATATATACAGATATATAAAAAAAAGCCAGTTGAATATAATGGCAGCAACATCCACCTATTGTACAAAACATATTTTTGTAAATGTTATAAATAAATAAATAAGAATGAAAATTCTATAAAAACCCTAATACTAACCTTTAGTAGCACTCTAAAGTTATTTTATTATTATAGTTATTTAATATTATTTTATTATATACTTTTATTATTATGTATTCGATATAAATTTGTTTACATATATAAAATTATTGACAGAGTACTTATCTATTGTTTTTTTTTTTATCACTAATTGTTACGTACCTATGTATGAGTAAATAAAGTATTAATATAACTTAAGATTGTAAGTGTAATTACAATAAAAAAAAGTTACTTATGATATATATTTTTAGTTACTCAATGTCATCTAGATAGATAGATGACAAAATTTTATGGAGGTAAACTAAAACATACATTATTGACGTAAACAATTGTTTAATTGACAACACTATTAGCCAGTAACGATTTTTTTTTAAATTAATAAAATCTAAAAAATATTAAAAAATGCAAGAATATTGCATAAATTTTATTATTTAGATGTGGGAAATGTTTCCTAATTTTTTAAGTACAAATATATTTATTTTCATTTTTTTTTTATAGAACGAAAAAGAAAAAAAAATATATGGAGCAAGTATAATGTGTAACAATTAATATTTATTAGGTTTTTGCGCATTTATTATATAGATTTTTTTTTTTAAATTAAAGGTCAACTTACGACCTTGAGAACTTCCATACCGCCATAAAAACTAAATAAAAACAAAATAAAGCGGGTGTAACAAAATAAATTAAAATTATCACTTACCGAAATCGATGAACTGCTTAATAGACAGCGGCGACGGATTAAATTGAGAATAAAAATCGAGCATTTTCGTAACATTTGTGAAAATGGCTCCTGCCAACCTCATTTTGTATAATATTAAACACAAATTTCGTCGATTGAAAAATTAAAACAGCAATATATGTCAACGTTAATGTTAAGTGACGGCCACTAAATAACAATCAAAAACATACTCAAGAAAATATGAATAAAAGTAAATCAGAATCCGTTGTTAAAAGAACCTGTTTCACTGACACGAGAAAACCTACTGAATTAACCAAAGAGAAAAATACTTAGATAAGTAAGAAAACGCTAGCTACTGACCACAAATTAAAGAGTTATCAAAAGAATGACTCTATAATAGCGATGGGCGATTCGAATAAAAAAAACTCGAGTCACTCGAGCTGCATTGCCGCCGGCTCAATTCGAACTAGTTTTTCTATCAATTCGAATCAACTCGTATAAAGCCAATACAGCGCTACCTACGTGACAACCGTGATATAATTGCGATCAACGGCTCCACGCTCGGATCACTGTCGCACGCAACTCGGCCGACTGTGTTCGTGTTCGTCAACTCGATTCGGTTGCTGTGAATGCTATGTGGCTGTGTGCGTGCGACGCAACAGAAACATCATACAACGAGCAAGACTCTCGTGTGCATGATATTTCTGCAGCGTGTTTTACAGTTACACTCCGCGCGCTATAGCATGGTGCGGTGATAGGTGAGGTTTTGGCACTTTTTGTTATAAATGTAACAGAATAGTGTTGAGTGAGATTTATGGAGTCATAGAATTTTATTTAAAGAATTATCCCTTAACTCCTAACCGTTAAGAAGTTGTACTCCATCATCAGCTCATCTGAATATTATTTGAAAAAATACTACTAACGGTCTAAACGTGCCTAATATTTCAGGAATTATCTCTTAACTCCTAACCTTTAAAGAGTTGTACCTCCCATCATCAGTTAAGCAACATGAGATGATGACTACCAGACGTAAATATCTGAATAGCTTTAGAAAGTACATGAAAAATATTCTAGGTGCCTATAAAGTATAGAGAGTTGCCCTCGATTTCCCTGGGATCCCATCATCAGATCCTGACATAGTGACAATGGGACTATCTCAAGACAAAATCCCTACCGACAAAAAAAAAATTTTTCACAATTGATCTACCATTGACGGAGTAATCGCGTCGGTGTAAACACTTAAAAAAAACATACAATATTACAGTCGAATTAAGAACGTCCTTCTTTGGAAGTTATATTTTAAATACAAAACACTAAGTTTTGTATTTTTCTTTCAAATTAATAGCTTGAAAGAAAAGAACAAAATTGTTTTATATCACAAATAGGTTCATTATATGTTTAGTTTTTTTTTTTTTATGAATAAGGAGATTTTTATTACATCTGCCTTTAAAAATAATTAAACAGTTCAATGAACAATGTTGTTGTGATTTCTGAATTCTGAGTGTTTACTACGTTACGTTAGTTTATTTTATTCGAATTGATTGAAACCCGCGAGTTCGCGCTATCGATGATTTAAATCTAAAGCGAGCTGATTCAAGTTGCGATCTGAATCAGCCACCATTTCAATTCGGTTTATTCGAGTTCAAAACTATACGAGTTGGCCCATCGGTACTGTGTATGGTATATAAAACAAAATCATCAGCGTATTGCAAAATACAATTTATTTTAGTCGTGTTTTGGTATTATTCAGTACTGCCACCTTGTAGTTTTAGTAGATCACCATTTTTTAAAACGCTCACACTGATGGGACATCACTAGAGGTGGACACTGATTGGTTGATTTAGTTTTGTATAATAATGCCTGTCTTAACAATAAGTAAATCATCTGCGATATATAAATTAAACAATCTATTCTTAAAAGACTATAAAAACATAACATGTCGCTGCGTGAAGACAAAGAAAAATAATTTAATTAATGCTGTGAATCCGTACAGATAGTATAAAGCAACAAGTAAGTAATCAAAATAATTCAATATGGAGGAATGTTTAATGGGCTTCAAATCCCCAGAACCTCTTACAAGGCTTGAGGCTGAAGATTTTATAAAATGGAAGGAAAAATTAAAAATTTCTATTAAAGCACCAGGTAATAATAATGAGCCTGAAGACATACAGGTAGCCATATTGTCATATTGTATGGGAGAATTGTGTATCGAAATTCACAGTACGTTTGATCTCAATGAATGAAGAAGAAAACAATTATGAAACGGTAATAGAAAGGTTCGTGCAACGTTTTGATGACCTATGACCAATGAAAATGTGAATTCTCACATATTCAAGGCACGAAATCAAAAACAACATGATTCCTTTACCAGCTATTTGACAGAGCTACAGAAGTTAGCGCAACGCTGCAACTTCGATGAACTAAAGGAAAGAATGATCAAAGATAGAATTATTGCAGGAATAAATGATTCAAAATTAAGAAATAGGTTACTAATGGAAAACCAACTGGATCTCATGAAGGCAATAAAAATGTCTAAGATTGCGGAAAATACGAACAAACAGATTAAACAAATGGAAAATCAGGTAGAAGACAGTCAAGAAATTAATTTAGTCAAGAAGAATAAAAATGGTGAATCATCAGTCTAATTAAAAAATGGAAATATGAGAAAAAATTTGAGTAGAAATAACAGATTGCATAATGAACAAGTGAATAATAACAAGAAAACAACAAATTTTATATTATATCATAGCGGTGTGGATATATGACAGGAAGAATTGTCCAGCATATGGGAAAACATGCTTAAATTGTGGAAAAGTGAGTAATTTTAAAAAGAAATGCTATTTCAAGTGTAGAGCGAAAGTGGTGCTTGTATTACAAAATGAAAATAATAGTACTGAAAGTGATAAAAGTGTACAGTTATTAGTGGTAAACATTTATATTAAGGAAACAAGTTTTTTTTTTTTGATGGATGAAAATGGAGTGGTAACCCCACCTGCGCTAACGGGATACGCTGGATTAATTATGATAGTTTCCCGAAGGAACTGCTAAGAGGTACCTGGTTGGGTACTATACCCAAACAGGTTGACCTCCTCTCGATTTTGTCAATAATTTTGTACGTTGTTCGTAGACTAATAGATTAAATGTATATTTTATCTTTTATTCTGCTCTGTTCGCATATAATACAGTCTGCTCACTCCTTCTGTGGTAGATGGTTAGGATTTAGAGGCGGGGTACCATCCTATAAATCAATCATAAATCATTTGTAGCAGAAAACTAACTAGTTTCCTATATAATACCATATCATTCATATATCATATTACATGTACCACTACTGCCATACTACCAATTATAGAAAGAATTCCCTATTTGTTACATTACTGAGTACCTATAATCATATGTTCTCTGACATTGATCCCTTTATAGGGTGGAAAATAAAGTTTAAAAATGAGATAAAAGGGCATATGGTATTAATATGTAATTAATGTTTTCCCTTTGTTGTCAGAGATTTCTTTTGTATATAACTTTTCTTTAATATACAGTCAGAAGTCTTAATTTTTTTTTATTCATATTTATTTTTAAATTGTACTTTTTTTAATTTTTTTAATAGTTATACCTGTATTGTTCTCAAATAATGTGTTGTTCTCAAAAAATGGATGGTTTTGTTAACACCTGAGCATTATTATTGACAATGTTGCTTTAGTTTTCAATAGTATTGTTTAATTTTTTTTATTTGGTATTGTTAATTTTGTGTTCTTCACTGGTATTATACGAGGTCTGTCCGGAAAGTTCGTATAAAAGTGTTCTGGAATGCGATAAAGAGGAGTTGTGAGGCCAGGTAAGCGCAGGACCCCTTCCTTATGTCCCTTGCGAACTGGCTTGTCACGCCATCTGTGAAGTTACCTCTTAACGAAACCCCGTCGGCATGGAGCCCGCTTCCGTTGAAGAGCAGCGCGTCGTAATCAAGTTTCTCTCGAAACTCGGCAAGAATGGCCGTGAAATTTTTGCCGATCTCAGAACAGTTTATGGGGATGATGCTGTGAAGGAACCAACCGTCCACAAGTGGCTAAAAAGATTCAGAGAGGGCCGAGAAAGCGTTCAAGATGACCCACGTTCAGGACGTCCTTCCACTTCACATTCCGACGAAAACGTGGAAAGAATTCGAACTTGTGTTAATGGGGACCGTCGTTTAACGGTCAGACAGTCGTGTGGCACGATTTCGTCCAGAATTGGCGCGAGAGGGGCGTTGGATTCTTCACCACGACAATACACCTCTCTTGTTGTCCGTGAGTTTTTGAGTAAAAATTCCATTACGGTTATCGCCGGATTTGGCCCCGTTGACTTCTTCTTGTTCCCAAAAACCAAATTGGTACTTCGGGGGCGGCATTTGGGGGACATAAATGAGATAAAAAAAGCTACGACGGGGCAGCTGAGAAACCTACAACCAGAGGACTTTCAAGGAGCCTTCTCACAGTGGAAACGGCGTTGGCACAAGTGCATTATGTCACAGGGGGAGTACTTTGAAGGGGATAAAATTGATTTACCTGAATAATTGTAAAATAAAATTTTTAAAAAACTTTTATACGTACTTTCCGGACAAACCTCGTATTTGTGGTGCAAACTTTAGCGGCCGTTAAATTACTATTTAAGTTTGTAGTTATGTATTGTTCTAGCTGTCTGTTTGCCTTTAAATAAATAAAATAAAAATCATTACAGTTTGAACTGTTCCTGACACGATATAAATGCATATATATGCATGTAAAAATATACACAATGTATTCAGCGATGTCCATAGTTCATATCTAGGTATAAACGATGGTAACCACTTTCTAGCTTGTTTGCCATTCCAGCTAACTGAATATAATAATGCTCAATATGATAGGCGACGATCACTACTCTCCATCAGTCGGGCCGTCAGCTTGTTTGTAATTCTATGTTGCATAAAAAGAAAACTTAAAGAAATATAAATTTATATTTAATACTTATAGATGATCGCGGAGGCCGCCAACGGTCCAACGACGCTGGCTGCCGATAAAATCCTGACTGACCGTAATGTCCTCGTGATCCCGGAGCTGTACATCAACGCTGGCGGTGTCACCGTCACCGTCTCATTGCTCAAATGGCTCAAAAAACTCGATCACGTAGGGACGTCTCACATTCAAATACGAACGCGAGTCCAACTACCATTTGCTGGGTAAGAATGCAATTCCCAATACTTGATTTTTATCTATTATATATTTATGTAATGCCTGAGATGATGATGATGATGATGGTGTTGATGATGGTATATTTATCTTTACTATATAAATTATAGTTATATAGCTAATATTGCAGTTGTTATACATATGTTTATGTAGGTAAATTAATATGGTAATACTCCATATAAAACATTTACAAATTTTACCAGAGGGAGACTTTGTACAAAATTCGATTGCTTGGGTACCTCTGTCCCATTCGTGTTTCAACCGTGAAGCAGTTGTGTTTGCATGGCTGTGTATCGATTTGAAGGGTGGGATATGGCGTGAATTTACTGAGCACAGAGGAATAACACCTGAGTCCTCAGGAATGGCAATGCATGGGGGGTATTGTGGGCGAAACAGTATACTCTGTTATGTGCATGGTACTGCTCATGTCTATAGACGACGGTTACCACTTTCCATCAGGTGGGCCGTCAGCTTGTTTGCCATTCTAAATTGTATAAAAAAAAACAACGTTGCCTAGAAACATTATTGAAATATTTATATGAAAATCGTAAAGCTACAATTGCGAGTATTTTGTTAATGAATTACGTAGACGGAATTCGAATCTGTTACCATGCCGAGGACAGTACTCTTTAACGTTTTATGAAACACCCGTTTGGAAATTAAAACATAACGACATTTAATATCTTTGCGTTAACAAATCTGCGGGTCTAGCACGAAATGAAATTCCGAAATTTCGGACTCTATTTCGTGTTTTTGTTTATACCAAAATCGGACCAATAAATGGAGTTTAACATTTCGCTCGTCATACATCCTATCATAAAAGTGCAAAGGAACAATATTTTAACATTTTTAATAATTCCAAACGGCATGTATTATGTAATTTTAACATCAAATTTGTGTTTCGTTTGGCTCCGAAATTTCGGAAAACATTTCATGGTAGGCCCTCTGTAGGAATCTATGTATTTACCTAACAACACCTACCTGTTTATAATTTGCTATTTACAGTCATAATCCGTCCGTGTATCATTTGAAAATAAGTTTTCGATGCGAGATTGTCGACAAATGGCCGTTGTAAACGTAGCTATACACTCTGCTCCCGAGATTATCACGCGCTATAGAATTGGACTCAATATTAACAGACGTAATTTTATCGAGGTTAATAAAAGAACATCTAATGTACATTCGGCGTTCGTAATAATACGCTAAATAAAATGTATTATATAATTGAAAATTCCGATGAACTCACCGATGATTGCTAACACCGATAACAAATCAAATTGATCCGAGTGACAGTGCCATAAGTTCGCCGCTTCCCACTTTGAATTCTAATATATGCAATTAAATGTTCGCATGTCCAGTACGTTACGTTCATATATAGATACTGCGAAGCCAGCAGTGCACAGATACCCCTGACTACCCCATTACGGATTATTGTCATAAGTATATTTTTTATTTATTTCCTCGCTATTTAATTCCTAGACTAGGCAAAGGAAAAAATAATAATATTCATTAGATATATCCCGCGGCTTTGCCTGCGTGAATCAGGATTTATAAAAAGTAGGTCGTCGTCATCATGTGTTAATTCAAAATACGATCCGTGGACGTACCAAATCACATTGAAATCCTTTCAACTGTATAAGCGTGGTGGAGCAAAAAACATCATTTACCCGGCCGGGTGGCATCCTGGGACGCCGAAACTCAAGGAGAGGCTCCGTAGGATCTATAGATATATCGCGATTTGTCTACTAAAGCGCGGTGGGTGGCATTGTTAACATAAATAAATAGTTTTTACCAGAGGGAGACTTTGTACAAAAGTCGATTGCATGGGTACCTCTGTCCCATTCGTGTTTCAACCGTGCAGCAGTTGTGTTTGCATGGCTGTGCTTCGGTTTGAAGGGTGGGATATGGCGTGAATTTACAGGGTACATCATAATAACATCTGAGTCCTCAGGAATGGCAACGCATGGGGGGTGTCATGGGCGAAACAGTATACTCTGTTATGTCCATGGTACTGCTCATGTCTATAGGCGACGGTTACCACTTTCCATCAGGTGGGCCGTCAGCTTGTTTGCCATTCTAAGTTGTATAAAAAAAAAAAAAAGTTGCCACTTTCCCATTTTCCCACTTCCTTGCTCTTATTTGTTGTGCTAATGCTTAGCTACTTGACAGCGTAAGGATATCTCACTATCGTGCCTTAGTTTATTAGCACACAGTGATAGTGCAATTCTACAATGTTTATTTAAAAATATTAATTTAAATACATCCATAATAATTAAGTATTGATAAAGCCTATAATTTTTTTTTATTTATGTTAATTTATAAAAATCTTAATTATGCACTCACTTGTAATTTGGAAAAAAAATTACGGATAGATACGTCCGTAAACAATTAAAGGTAGGGGTAACAAGCTAGTGCGATAAAAACAAAAAAAAAATAAAACGTGTAAAAGCGAAAACGTGTAATAGCCGTGTACGTAAAATTACGATTTACATTTTGCTAGTTAACGATACCTGGTTTTTGTTTGCATTTATTGTAGTTCAGGTAAATACAGATTATTATATATACATACATATAAATAACAGTGGATTCTTTCCATTTTTAAAGAAAAATTAGTAAATAGTAAAACAAAAGATTAGATAATAATATATATGTATTTCAAGCGTATTTGCTGACTAATTTCAGTACACTGCACACTGCACACTGCACTGCGGCTGCGTCGTGCTGCGTCCAGCGGGCGTAGGACTGGTGCTGCCGGCAGACTCGTCTTCGGCTGTGATTTGAGTTGGTGACGGCTGCACTCTGTACTGGTTAGAGTGAACATTCCTAACTTATATTTTAATTAATTATTTATTTATTTGCGCCTACAAACTGCGTTATATGCAACGCATGTAGTATATAAAGTAGTTTGAGCAAAGCTGCTTGAACGGCTTTGAACAAATTTGCATTAATTAGTAACGTTATTGTAGGATTCTCCAGTTTGACCAGCTACTAACCACCCTAATAGACTGTATTGCAGAATTAGGATTATTTGGACCCAACTTCATTTGTTTGATCGAACAAGCTGACTCTACCGATTCCGTGTTTCATATGTTACTTTTGTTTTTTGCTGAAAATGCATCCAATTCAAAATAAAATTCGTTTTCGGTTATTTCGCGATCAGATATTTGTGCTTCTGCGTTTTGCGAAAGTTGCTCAATCTCACTCTGTACATTATCCAAGTTGGATGAGCATTCTTGAAATTGTGTTAACCGTACAGATAATTTTCTTATTTCAAAATTTGAAAAATCATCGATAATATAAACAACTCTTATTCTACTTCCGATACCGCCTCGTTTTTAGGACAATGATTTTAAACTTTCAATATAGTATCTGATTTTGTTTCCATTTTCTAAATTTATAATGGGAACAGGACTCCTTGATCGAGTTTAGGATTCGGTTTCAGCCATGTTTATATTTATTTACGTTTACGTCACTAAAAGAAGTGTTCTATAGGTGAATATATTTTTATTAGATCCTTTCAAAGTGCTCTCCACCAGGCTCAACCATATACAAAGTTTCATGCGTCTGAACCAGTTTTCAAAACACTTCCCAGTCCGCCGCAGACACCTCGTTTACAGCCTGCTCGAACGCTATGAGTGCATCATCCGGCGACGAAAATTGTATCCCTTTGAGCTGATTTTTTATTTTTGGGTATAAGAAGAAGTCACACGGTGCTAGGTCAGGGCTGTAAGGAGAGTGACCCAAGAGTTTGACCGGTGTGCTGTCTAGGAAATCTCTCGTTTTGATTGCGGTGTGCCCGCCCACACGCATTATCGTGGTGGAGCAGTAGCCCGCGGAGCCCTGTGTTCGATCGATCACCTGTGATGATGTCGTAAACACGCCGAGACGAGCCTGTTTCAATATTTGTCTATCATATCATGGCACCATTCCACCCTTGCCTGCGTCTGAACATCGGTGAGGTTGTGCGGCACCCAGCGTGAAACTCTCCTCCGCACCCGTAGACGCACGTGTAGAATCTCGTGAAGGCTTCCCGATCCGATCTGCAATATATGCTGAATCTCTTGATATATAACTCGTCTGTCTTGGATCAAATTTTTCAATAAATGTCAATGACGCATTCCCTCCGACGCGTATGCTGTTCCGTTTTGGATACATACAAATTTGCAAAATTCGATCAATCGACGATCTGCGTCTGCGGCGGACTGGAAAAAGTGTTTCGAAAACTGGTTCAGATGCATGAAACTTTGTATATGGTTGAGCCCGGTGGAGAGCACTTTGAAAGGATCTAATAAAAATATATTTACCTATAGAATTTTTTTTTTGTGTCGCAAAACTTGCTGAGTGTCCCACGTACGAGGGTCAAACTGAAACTGAACTGAGGTCCTTAGAAAATCAAAAACTGATTATGGTAGATTATGACGATAAACTTCGGAGCAAAGCTACGGGATTTTATTCACCTGCCTAGAAAATATATTAGGAATCCTTAGAATCAAGCAGAAGAGCATGCATTGACGGATATAGACAGGAGAAAGTAGGACTCACCGACCGGATTAACTTGCTGAGTAGTTGAACACCTTGGGTGGCTTTGACTCCTTTTCCACACACCAACACTGGTTAGGTTCACAATTAGCATGTAAAAGGCACGCGAATTTCCATAGATTTTCTAGTCTTTTTTCACTTAGAGTATGAGCGACACAAGCTCAGGTACTAGCGACCGCCATAATGATATTTTTCGTTTAACATTCAAACACAGAGGTCGCCGGTCTGCGCGAAAATTTGAATTGGAGTTGTTAATAAGCTAATAGGAATATATTAGTACGAATGGATAAAGGAATTAGGAAAGGATGTCGGAATAGATTAAATTAGCAAGTTTTTACCTTTATTTTATTTTTTGAAAATAGTGTCCATTCACGTCAATACATCGCTGCATCCGATAGAACCACTGAGAAAAGCACCTTGCCTACTCATCCTTAGGGATCTCTTCGACGGCCTTCTGAAACGTAGCCACAGCTTCCTCGGCGTCCCTAAAACGTTTTCTTTTATTTTTCGTAATAAATAAAAATAGCAAGGTACGAGGTCGGGGCTATAAGGCGGATGACCCAGTAGTTCTACGTCTGAGGTCGCCAAATAATCGATCGTTTGCCTGGCGGTGTGCGACGAAGCATTGTCGTGGTGAAGGAGGATCCTACTGCGAGGTGGTTTCTCACGCACTTTTTCCAAAACACGTGGCAAACAATTGTTACTGTACTACTCTGCAATAACTGTTTTTCGATCCTCTAAAACAATTGTCGCGTAATGACCTGTCCTTCCAAAGAACGAGGCCACCATCTTTTCTCTCACGCTTCGACCTCTCTTCACTTTAGTTGGCAACTCCTCGGAAGAAAACACCCACTGAGCTGACTGTCTTTTAGTTTCGGGATCATAACAGTAAATCCAGCTTTCGTCTCCCGTAACTATGTCGAACACAGAATTTGAGGCACCTCCGTTAAATCCTTAATGCATTTCTCGGCACCAATCAACACGACGGAGTTTTTGAGCCTCGGTCAAATTATGAGTTATATATAAATTATGAGTTATATAGATTTTGTGCACTTGACTCATACACCGGGCAAGCTTAGGGCCAATCCCTAAGCTTGCCCGGATCTGCTGATTGGTCACTCTTTTGTCAGTCTCTATCGCGCGCCGCACAACACTAAAATTGTCTCGCTACTAGAAACATCACTCGATTGTTGTTATTTATTATCCTCTGATATTTATCGCTAATTCTATATATAAAAACCTTAACGACAGAATACTACTTAATTATCTAAATATACATTAAAGTAAATCAATCGACTTATTAAATCACGTTCGATTTAACCGTTCGATTTATCGAATTTGTACGTATCCGAAACGGAACAGCATACGCGTCGGAGGGAATGCGTCATTGACATTTGTGCAAAAACACTGCTGCTCATTCACCAACCGGCATTCATTGCGTGTTGACGTGAACGCGAACGTGAACGCGAACGCGAACGTGAACGGTTTATATCGTTTGTATCGTTACAATATAACCATGGCGAAAGTTTTGGATTTAGTGAAACGTTACCAGCGTTCAATAGAGAAATATCCTAAAAACGAACAGAAGGTAAGTGCTTACTTATTGTCAGCCATTCGGTGTTATTTTCCTGTAGAAAATGTGTAATAAATATAAATCCGGCAATAATTTTACCACTATATAGTAGTGGAGTTTTGTGTTCGTGATGGGTTCAAACATTTCACATTTGTACATATATAATCGTTATTATTATTGTGCAAACAAATAAATCCGTTTACTTAATTTGCCAATCTTGACGACTGTTATAATATAATCTACGGCGCATTTAGCAAGCACAAGTCAATACGAGTATTTATTTATTTATTTAACACTTTATTGCACCAACATAACATGATTTGTTGAACAATTTTCAATACGTATAGTGTAGTACAAAAGGCGGTCTTATTGCTAAGCAATCTCTTCCAGACAATTCTCAATGTTCTCTACCCAAAGGTTGTCTGGAAGAGATTGCTTAGCGATAAGGCCGCTTTTTGTATCACTTCTCATTAATATTTACTGTATTTGTTATTTCCCTTTTGTACTTGGTGCAATAAAGTGTAAAATAAATAAATAAATATGTATACTCTATGTATAGGAAACAAACAGTAAATCTAAGTAGATATGAGGCCTTGCCCTAGCAGTTACAGATGGGCAAAGCACCGGGTTTAAACCCGGTGCTTTGGTAAAAACCCAATAAACACCCATAAACTCCCATAATCACCCAAAAAAATAGGTTTTTACGTATTTTTTGAAAATATGTAAGTAATACCAATAAATTATTTTTATAAATTGTATTGATCAATTCTACAATATTAAATAAAACGTTAACTAATAATATTTCAGGAAATTTTAAAAATCTATATATAATAAAATGAAAGTAATTAATTTTCAGTGTTTTCATGTTGCAGTTGATCAACATGTTGGCCTTTTGCTTCCCGTAGATACTTTAAAATTTCTTCATAACACCTCGTTCGCACACATGGCCGTATATATTTAAATTCTTGAGCCACTAACAGTCCGAAATACTCATTTCTTTTATCCTCTTCTCCATAAATTAAGCATTTAGAACAGTTTGTTTCTTCTTTCAGTAAATTTTCTTTTACTTTATCCTCGTTTTTTTTCTTTGTTGCGACGACGCTGGGTAAATCATCTGGACACTGGGTCTCACTATCGCCAAATATATTTGGAGATCGGCTTCGGCTACGGCTTGGCAGACATTTTTTTCTTTCTACAATTTTAAATTAAATTTATTAGAATAAATGCTTCGAACACACGCGATCTAAGTACCTTTTGTGTTTATTATACCTTACCTACCTAGGTATAAAAAGAGTACTTACGTAGATTTTCTTTTATTAACTGTTTTATACGAAGATCTTGATCTCTCAAATTAGCATCCATTTTACTTCCAGTGATTATCAACTAAATTAATAATCCACAAAGTATTAAATAACGTTTTTATGAAATATTTAGCACAAAAACAATACCCTTTAAATATCGATCGTCAGTAACTGTGGCTGACTTACCTATATTCTAGCAAGCAGGACTGCCAGATGTGAAGGGAAATCCCCAATAAATTGTTGCATGTGACTGATGATGTGAGCATGTTCGTTTCATAATAAAAATGTTGCCAGGTAACCAAAAAGTCGTATGTTTTTGTGCGAATTACGATCATAATCTTTACGATCGTACATTAAAAAATAGACAAATAATAGTATGAGTACGATTTAAATCGTATATCTGTCAACCCTGCTAGCAAGACAGCGACAAAATCACGTTGCATAACAATGTAGCCCAAGCTTATATCTTATGAAATATACGGAAGAGATACGGACTTAGAAAAAACAGAAATGTTGTTCTTTGTGGAAGTCATTGATGAAATTCTATGTATTTTAGCCCGCAAACTTTCTTCAAACAAAAACAGCGCCATCTAGTATCGAGTTCTGTAATTATCTCTTTGTTTATGGATTTGAAGTAAGACCGCCACGCATGCAATACATTATGACTGGGGATTCCCCTATTCGTCGACGCTGAATATGAGGCGACGACAATCACTGTCAAACGTGTTCACTATTACTCTGACTCTGGTAACGTGACTTCCTGGTAACGTGTTAGGTAGGAAAAGCAGTAAAAAAGTGCATATTAAGGGAGCAGATTTGAAATAATATTTATACTTAACAAGAAATAATTAAAGGTAAGTGGATTTTTGAATGATACAATTATATCATGATCACTTAACAATTTTAACTTAAAATTAGATGTATTATTACAAGCTTTTATTTAGCTTGCGTTATGTAAATAAAAGTATGTAGGTATGTTCGTATGTTGATGCAATTATCCTCAATCCTCAACCGACTGGGATAAAATTTTCCATACACGTTTATTTTGGATGATAGTGCATAGTTAGCTGAGAGTCGTCATTGGATAATAATGGTGGATAGCCTAAGATGTGTACTAGATATTTATTTTTAACATAATATGCGTAAGTACCTAATCGAATTAAAGAAGTTGCTGAGAAAAATACAGAACAATACGATAATAAACTAGCGTCTGCGTTTAATCCTCCGAGGAGATGTAATTTTACAAAGGTTTTTTGTATTTATTTTATTATTTTTTTAATAAATTTATTGTAAATAACAAGAAATAATCATTGTAAAAAAATAGGCACTCTATTGTTGAATTTTCGTCAGACCAACTAATCATCGTTCATTTTTTTAGGTTCAATGGGGAGACCTAAAGATTTACCTGATCGCATATGGGAGCACTACCGTACTTTACCAAACAAGTCTGTTTCTTGCAAGCTTTGTAATAAGGTCTACAAATTCAGTAATGCTGCCAAAATGCTTCAACATCTTATCACTTGTCCAAAATCTCCAGAAACATTAAAAGACTCTATGAAACTTATAAAAGATAGCTCGTCCAAAACCAAAATGTCTGGACTGTCAGAGATAGAGACAAATGATTCTTTTATAAGCCCCTCGTCGTCTGCTAACACTACAATAAATGCTGAGTTTCAAGACACCGATGATCATATAAAAACAGAATTAGCGAGAGCTATATTTGTAACAGGGACGCCATTATCGATGGTGCAACATCCTTTATGGATACAATTTTTCGAAAAATTGCAACCAAAATTTAAAATACCTTCACGTAAAGCTTTAGCGACAAAATACTTAGATAAAATATATAGAGAAATGCGTTTTGAGTTAAATGAGGAACTAAATGCTTGTAGTTACTTACACCTTCAGTGCGATGGCTGGTCTAATTTAAGAAATGAAGGAATAATAAACTTTCTTATATCAAAACCTCAACCTGCATACGTTAAAAGTTTGAATACAGAAAGTAATCCTCACACTAGTGAATACCTTAGCCAAGAAGTTGAAAAAGTAATGAAAGTGTATGGAGCAAATAAGTTTCTTGTACTTATTGGCGATAACGCTAGAAATATACAAAAGGCATTCGAATTAACAAAACTCAAATATCCACATGTTGTTCCTCTCGGTTGCTGTGCACATATCCTTAACTTGTTGTGCCAAGATATTGTAAAGATACAAGAAGTAACTGTGTTTATTATGCAAGCCATAAATATAATAAAAACTGTTAAAAGGAGTCAACGATTAAGTTCCTTGTTGATAAAATCAAGGCAGGGTGAAGATTCTACACAAACACTAAAATTGCCTTGTGCTACAAGATGGGGAAGTCATGTTACTTCGTTAAAAAGTTTGAAAGCAAATAAGATAGCTTTGCAAATATTAACAGTTAGAGAAGATGTGGTAATTTCAAGAGATATTAAAGATTTAATTCTAAGTGATGATTTCTGGACGAAGACAGGGGAATGTATAAGTATTTTGGAACCAGTCACTGAAAGCATATTTTACTTAGAGAGCGACCAGAATCGTTTGCATCGCACATACATTACATTTAGAGATGTACAAGCTAAGATACGTTTTGCATTAAATGAGATTTCGACATTGAGCGAAGAAAGCAAACAGCAGATTCTAACATCAGTATCTTCAAGATGCAATATGGCAATGAGGCCAATACATTTTGCAGCATATATTCTAGACCCCAGGACTCTAGGAGTCGAACTTACTCAAGAGGAAGAACTTAAGGGTATGGAGTTTATCTACAATTTAAGCCAACACTTAAGTTTGTCAAATGTAATGGCAGATTTGGCGTGTTATAAAGCTAAAGAAAACTTTTGGGCCAGAGGATTTGTATGGAGCTCATTAGATAGCATTGAGCCCCTAATATGGTGGAAAGGTATTTGTGGTTCCACTGAGTTAAGCAAAGTAGCGATTCGTATTCTATCAGCTCCCTGTACTTCGGCAGCCACTGAGCGTTCCTTTAGTATCCAAGGCTACATACATAATAACAAAAGAAATCGACTTACAACTGAAAGAACTGAAAAAAAATTTCATTCATTTGTTATAACTGGAATCTTAAACATAAAGCTGAATGCGAGGACATTCAGTTTAATGAAGAAAATACCTTAGAAGCTTTCATTGAGCAAGTAAATGAACATAACAGTTTAGACGAAATAGAGCCTATCGAACCTATACAATTCATCGCTTGTAATAACTCTGAATCTGACAGTGATTGACTGTAGTTTTACATTTTACTTTCATCTCTTTCTTAATAAACTCAAAATCAAATTAAAAGTTTTTTATTCTGTAGGCTGCATAATAATATTGTCTATGTCCAGTATAGTGGACGTCTTGCGGCTGAGATGACGATGATGAAGTACAAAATCATAAACACCCAAAAATTTGGGTGTTTATGGGGTTTAAACCCAATAAACCCAAAACACCCGGTTTTTACCCACCAGACTTTAAACCCACCCAGGTGGATTGCCCATCTCTACTAGCAGTAGTTCTATAGTACCTATTTGGTAGATATGTAGTAACATGACGTGAATGGCAGCTGACAATTTGGCTTTTTCATGTAAATAACTTTTTTTGCAATCATACACGATCTAATTTGCAATGTTTTGTTGAACCCTTAAGTTACGTTTATTAATTTTCCGTGTGATTTTCTTTTAATGACTTTACACCTGTAACATACTATAATGTACAGAGAATAATCTACACTAATAAAGGGATATTTTTGTCTTTTTTTGTATATTTGTTTATTTGTAATGGATAAACGGGATCGGTGATGAGTTAACTCGTCTTTTCATATCCAAATTTTGCTCACCGGTGACGAGTGAAGTCATCATTGCACTAGCGTTTAGGTACATCCTCCTACCACAATGGACAAAACCATTTGGATTACAAAGCGTTCATGACCAAAAAATTACCTGACAAACAAGTGTTTCGAGATCATATTTAGTGATAGCTTCAGATTCAGGATGCTATCTGGCCATGTTCCACTCGGCAAGTTGTATCATCTTATAGAAATTAAACAATCACCAAATTGTATATAAACTAGTCTGGTCATAAATACTGTTACATAGAAACTTTTCTTTTTTCAACTTTTTAATTATTTTGAATTTAGAACACATTTAATATTTTAAAAACTTCTTGATTTCCTGCCATCTCACATATTTTTTTTTGTGTTCATTATCAAATTACAACATGGAACTAGGTGTTAAATTAAATAGGATTGGGGTGTTAAAGAAGCAATAAAAAAAACTTATTGCGAGAAACGAAGATTCCAGCTAGGACTCTGACCTGACGCTCAAGACTAGACTTATAAATTTTGTAAATTCCTCTACTACTATTGTTGCAGATTTTAAAATGTATTGATAAGTTATTCAACCTTGATGTCACTGTCCAACATCTGCAAGACACAGGGGTCGGACGTACAGTGAATGCACTGTGGGAACATCCAGGTGATGTAGGCGAGGCCTCCCAAACTCTGATCTATAAATGGAAGTGCATGGTCGCAGCTGAGGAGTGTAAAAGTGGAGAATATCAACGTGAAAAACATAATTACAGTTATAAAAACGATGGCCAAAAGTATAATAAAAAAGTTAATGGCAACTGTAGTGGAACCAAAAGAAAATATCAAAGCAGTGAGGTTGGTATTTTTTAAAATTACATCATAATACGTAATCCTAATTGTCCAGCATTGGTCTTCTTTTTAACTTACTTCATAAAAGAAATTTGGGAAATTATTTTTCTATCTAAAAGGATATACTTTCAGATAGTTTCGATAGAAATTTCGTCAAAATCAGTTTAGTATTCCAATTTAACTAATTAATTAGTAGATGGTTAGGGTACCATTATAACAATTTCTATTAGCAGTAAAAATGCCCAACTATGATTTTAGGATGAAGAACATGATATAAAGAAGAAGAGAAGCTCTGCCTCTAATGGAGATTATAATAACGGAAAATGTGATGTAAAAATAAAATCAGAGCCAAAAAGCGACAGTGATCTTAACAGAGAGCATTCAAACAGCGATGAAACTGATTTTAAAATATCTCAATTGTCTGAAGAAGAGGTAAAATTGAAGTCATCCTCTAAACGTTCACACAACAAATGCACAGATGATAAAAAAGAGTGTACATCTAAAAAGTCACGTAATTCTGACAAAGATTCGAAACGTAGTAATGAAAATAAAAATAAACATGACGCTCAGAAGTCATCTTCGCAGGAAAAATCTCACACTGCACATAAGCACAGCAATACATGTGAAAGTAGCTCTGCAACAACAGCGAAACATAAATTGGACCACAGTTTGCTTGAGAAGAAACAAACAGATGAAAAGAAATCATCAAGAAGACACTGTAGCAGTTCTGAAAAGCATAGATCTTCTTCACAAAGTGCTGATAGTGGATTTGATAAACACAGAAGTTCAAGTCGGTCTCACAGATCTGATAAAGAGAAGCACAAAAGTTTATCAGAGAGAGAAAATAGCATTAAACACAAGATAAAAGAGAGTAACAGTAGTAGTTCTAAAGAAAAACATAGTTCCTCTAGTAAGGAGAAGTCAAGAGATAGAAGCAGTTCCTCAAAAGAAAACTCGGATAGTAAGAGTGGAAAACTCTGGAATGAAAGTAGATGTAAACATGGTGACAATAGAAGTAAACATGAGAAAGATAAGTGTAGCAGCACCTCGTCCTCTCACAGGAGCAGCGTGTCGAGCAGTAGTCAATCAGAAGAAGATGTATCAAAGAAAACAAATCATGTAAACAATAGTGAGGATAGAAAAGACGGCATCGACTGCGGCTCAGGTTAGTGCATCGTAAATATACAATTTAGTCGGACAATGTTTTTTTTTTTTATATACGTTTCGTAATATTTGTTTCTCTTGGTTTCTAGGTGCTAGTTTTGCTGAAGCCCTAGGAATGTTAAGTTCAGCAAAACCTAAAAAGAAATCCCCAACTGTTAAAGGAACTCAATCGCCCAATTCAATAACTAATGATGTAAGCCCGGCCGCCCTTCTGGCACCGAACGCCAAGCTAGCACCACTGTCTGCTTTCGAAATTTCTGCTTTGTCAAAAATATCACCGAACTACAAGCCGAGGCCGCCGCCAAAACCACTGTCATATTTCACTGGTGAAGAGGCCATGAGCGCCATAATATCGTCTAAAAACCAAAGGTAAAAAGCATTTCTTATTGTTTTTATTGGATTTCATATATTTTTAATATGCATACGAATGTAAAACTAAATATATCTGTGGTCACACATTTTTTAAAAAATTTAGGCAAAAAAGGTACGATTTCTAATGCTGTCTGCTTTGGAATTTTGTACTCACGAATATGATTGTCATGTTTCAATAGTATTTGTAAAGAGTTTTAGTTATACATACAACCAAACTCACTTTCACATTTACAATATTTGTAAACGATAAGTTTTTACTGCACCGAGTTATGTTTATTAACATAGTTTAAAATTTCAGAACTAAAGTATATTCCGGTAATAAAGTAATGGGAAAAGTTCCAACGCTGTACGTGATGTGTGTACATCTTCTACAGGAGTACATTGATGGTAATGTTTTTTTTTTTTTTATTCCCCTTACATAGTTATAAGTTACAATGTGTTTTGAGAATGCAAGACAATTAGCATCTAGGAGATTAGCCAGATATTCAGAATTATTTTAATTTAAAAAACAGCTTCTAAATTGTCGACTAGCGATGCGCGAATTTACTTAAACGACATATCATTTATTTTGTAATGTATTAAAATACAAGACTAATAGAAATAATTATTTGTCACCAGGCCTCAAGTACACGGGCGGCGTGCCATATGAACTCTTGAAGCCCGTCGTAGACAAGGCAACCCCTCAGCAACTCTTTGTACTGGAACACTTCAATCCATATCTTATGGAGGACACTGCCCAGTTGTGGCAGAAATACTGCGAGAAGCACTTCAGGAAACAACAACGGCACGAGATGGAGACGTGGAGGGAAATGTACATTGTAAGACATTTTTATTATATATTACAAAATAAATGCAAGTGTTAATAGTTGTCGCTATGTCTGTACATATATGTCACAGCTATCTCTATATATATATATATATATATATATATATATATATATATATATATATATATATATATATATATATATATATATATATATATATATATATATATATATATATATATATAATACTTTTTAAAAAACAAATGTTAAGTGCTCATGACAATATAAATCAGTCGATTTCAAATACCTTTTGTACACCATTTCTAGCAACTTCTATTTATTACTAAAGTAACTTTGTCAAAGTGAATTAAATATATTATTTTTTTTATTATTTCAGCGATGCCAAAAAGAGCAAGAGCATAAATTAAAAAATTTGACAGTCAATATTAAAAAAGCGCAAGAAGCGAAGAAAGCGCCCGTTAAACAAACAAAGATGGTTTACTTGGATACTGTTGTGAAAGCACCTTGGAACATCGCACGGGCGGCTGCTGCCAGTCCAGCAGCACGGGCGGCAGCCGTGGCCACACCGCTCACAATTCGCGCCGGAAACGGCCGAGCCGCCCCCTCGCCTTCCCCTGCGTTCAAACCCAAGAAAGCGCCTCTCATGCAAAAAGTTCTGAAATGCATGCGAGGCCGCACGCGATCATAGACTACTTTCACCACTTGTGTTGTGTAACAGTGGTAGATGTATTGTGATTTTATACACACTGTCAATTTTATATCGAACCGGTCGAATGTTTGTTCCTTGTAAACCAAATGTGACAGTGTACGTGAATATATACATGTGTAAAATAGAACAAATTGGATTGTATCAAAATGTATTTAACTTAAGCTTTAGATATGTAAGTAGTGTAATTCGGCATCACGAACTACATTGTTGCTTGTTTGTAAATAAATTGTAATATAATTATTAGTTTATAATTGTATATCGTTGGATCTCGAGTCTGTGATCCTTTTCCTATAGTTAGTCATTACATTAGATTTATTGCAATGTTGTAATGAACCAAACGTGCACAGGGACCCTGTGATATGTTCGAAACATAAATATTTTGTGATGTAGATGTATATATATATATATATTGTGTCGTGTACAATATATTGTTATACATTGCTTTGTTACAAGTATAATTACATAATGAATACAATCAATATAAATGGTGTTCGTGTTCATTACACATCGCATCTGTTTCACATCAAATTAATAGGATCCCTATTGGTTTGAGCTGAACATTTTTACTTTTAGTATTAGGCCATTTGCTTGTGCTGTGTTAAATGAAGAAATAGAGTATGGATCTTTTGATTAATAAAATAATACACATAAATTGATCGTCGCTTTAATCTGTTTTTTTATTTAAACCCAATATTTCACACCCGTAAGATGCAATTCATAGCAAATTTACAGTTATAAATATATCAGTATAATTGTTATAATTACAGTACAGTACAGTGGGGGGAAAGGGATTGTTAGTAATGGAGAGTGAGAATCCCATTGCTAGTAATATACCCAACCAGGTCGACTTCCTTGCGGTTCCCCCTGGAAACTATCATGATTAATTCCTGATGAATTCATCATGATGGGCTAACTGGCCTGTTTTCATTCTCATCTATCACCCTTCACTGGTGCTCCGTCAGCGTATCCCGTTAGTGCAGGCTGAGTTACCATACCATTTTCACCCATCAAAACAGTACAGTACAGTACAGTTGTTATAATTCATAAAAAATCACTTACTTGTAACTATCTTGATATATATTGCATATAGAAAAGTTTATACACATTTTTTTTTATTCTTTCACATTGGCTCCGAGCACAGTATACACTCCTTGCATATTCTGTTAAAGTCCATCTTACATTAGTTTTTTTTTTTTATGGGTGAAAATGGTATGGTAACCCCGCCTGCGCTAACGGGATACGCTGGCGGAGCACCAGTGAAGGGTGATTGATGAGAATGAAAACAGGCCAGTTAGTCTATCATGATGAATTCATCAGGAATTAACCATGATAGTTTCCAGGGGGAACCGCGGGGAGATCGACCTGGTTGGGTATATTGCTAGCAATGAGATTCTTAGTCTCCATTACTAACAATCTATTCGCTTTGAAAATAGCGATAGAATTTAGCTTTAAATCTATTATATTTGGCTCAGATCTGTTTCCATGTATCCACGAGAAAACGACACAGGTAGTGATAAAAGATCGATAGAATAGTTCGTAAAAGGGAACGTGCGCTTGAATTCGCCAGAAACCGAGGCTTGACTAGCACGGTGATCTGCTTTCTCGTTCCCTGTTTATATTGCATTGACTAGGGATCCTAATAAAAATAATGTGACAGTCTTTTTGAACACTTTCATATAACAACAGTTTTATGTTGTAAATTAAAGGGTGGATATTTTTGTTTTCTGTAAAAATTAGCGTCCGTTTTAACTTCATCCGATGAACATATTCAACTGCTTTATATAAACCTAAACGTTCACCAGTAAATACTGTCCGACTTAACCCACTGAAACTGCGCAGAGATGTTGCATCTCTGTGCATCTTCTACCGAATTTATCATGGGGAGTGTTCTGAGGAATTGTTCGGATTGATACCTGCTGCTGATTTTCACCACCGTACAACCCGCCATAAACTAAAGTTTCATCCCAATCATCTGGACGAGTGGCGGTCTTCCACCGTGCATTTTTCAAGGCACTTTCTTCCACGCACAACTTATTTATAATCTGTTTATTATTATTATTATTATTATTATTATTATTAGCACAGAATTTATCATTGCCTCCTACACTAGGCTGAGCCTGTCCTGTAGGAAGCAGTACTCGTGTTATCATATACATGCATATAGATATTAAACATAGGCTTTTTAGCAGTACTCACAATTGTGTAACTAATCTGTATAATACAATTATTTTATTTATTTATTTTTTTCTTTCTCTCACCACCAATACACATGTATAAATAAGTATTATGAATGAGTGTGTGTAAAAAAAATGCGTGTGTGTGTGGTGTGTGTCTCTCTGTGTGTGTGTGTGTGTGTGTGTGTGTGTGTGTGTGTGTGTGTGTGTGTGTGTGTGTGTGTGTGTGTGTTTGTATGTATGTGACCAGTATTTTCATTTATATGATTAACAAGAGCATGTTTTCAGTATCGTCATAATTCATAGATTTCAGATGTTCGCTTACTTTTGATTTTGTTTCTTTTAGGGTGCAGTTCTTTAGATTGTAAATTTTGCAAAATTTATTATATATGAATGGGATCATGCAAGAAGAGAAGCGTCTGGCAAAACTAGTTTTAGTAGTAGGTGTAGGGAGAGTGTAAAAACGCTTGTTTGAAGCCTTAGGGTTATTCAGTGACTTTTGGATTATGCTGTGACCAATAGTTATAATTTTGAAAATATACAGTTTACGAACGCTTAAGACCTTTGCGTCATTAAATAAAGAAGCTGTTGAATATCTAAAAGGCTTTTTGAACATGACCTTTAATATAGAACGCTGAGCTCTTTCTAGTTTCAGCAATATGATCTTAGCAGCAGATCCCCAAACTCGGATGCAATAAGTAAGTACTGACTGACACAGCGCGACATAAACATTTCGGAGTAAGGATGGATCCATCACGTCTCTGAGGATTCTCATGGTGGGAATAAGTTTTCTTACTCTGGCAGACATATAGTCAATGTGTTGCTTGAAAGTAAGTTTCTCATCTAATACCATCCCTAGATACTTTACAGTTGGAGAGTTCTTAATAGTGTCACAGGAGCACATGTTAGAATGGTATATCGGATTTGTAACACTAGGAGTAATAGCCATACACATGTGTATCTTGATATCTGGAACGGAGAACGGCCTTGAAGCTTTAGTTTTATAAAAGCATACATATTTCGTTTTTAAAGTATTTATTGTCAGTAAATTTTTGTTTAACCATGTAGCAACTAAAGCCAAACCTCTCTCAACGTTCAAATAACATTCGTTCCAATTATTACCATGGAATATAATAGCTGTGTCGTCAGCATAACAAGTAAATTTTGCGTTGATTAATGGGGTTAATAGTAAGTCATTAATATAACAAAGAAAGAGCGTAGGACCCAAGATACTACCCTGTGGTACACCAAAGCAAATATTCTCAAAATGACTAGTGTGATCATGTACTTTAATACACTGCTTTCTATTTGTTAGGTATGAATTAAACCACAAAAGTGGTTTGCCTCTAATTCCCAAACCTTCCAATTTTCGCAAGAGTATAGGAATTGACACGGTGTCAAATGCCTTTGTCAAGTCAAGGAACACTCCGACACACGCCTGACCTTCATCGAGGTGGGAACAAATATTATTAGTGAGAGAGCTCACAGCATCTTCAGTGGATTTACCACGGCGAAAGCCAAACTGTGCGTCTGAGAAAGCTCTGTTTGTTTCAAGGTATTTGACTAATCTTTTGTTTACGATTTTTTCTAAAAGTTTGGAGAAAGTAACCAACAGAGATATTGGACGGTAATTATTTACTGAATTTTTATCTTCGCCCTTGTGTATAGGAGTAACAGTGGCGATTTTCCATTGATCAGGAAATTCACCGGAAGCAATACTCAAATTGAAGATCGCAGAAAGAGGCTCGTTTATATATTGTCGAACTGTTTTTATCAGAGTATTTGCAAGTCCATCAATACCAGGTGCACTTTTTTCATTAAGTAATTGTATGAAAGAAGAAACTTCGAATGGGTCAGTTGGTTGGAAGTAAAAAGAATGAGGAGATGGATATGAAAGTTTCACTCCAGATGCCAGAGAGTCTTGTGTTTCATTTAATAGTGACATAGTTGTATGAGCAAGGTTTTGACCGACAGTTGCGAAAAAGGAATTACAATAATTGAGGGATTCTACTGGATCACTTTTTATTGTAAGTAGATTTTTTGCAGTACTCTTTTTAGTATTTTTATGAATTATTTTATTAATACTATTCCAAAGAGGTTTAGGTTTATTTATATTTTGCTGAATTAATCCACTTTCGTACTCCCTTTTCAAACGTCGCAGTAGGGAATTATAAAAATTTCTATATTTAATATATGTAGACTTCTTTATCGGATTGTCAGGATGTTTACGTGAATCAGAGTGAAGTTTATCTCTGCGTTTGGCACACCTGAGCAACCCTGGGGTCATCCAAGACTCTTTAGTGTATTTAGAGTGACTAACTTTATATGTGTGAGTGTGTTTTTTTACAATCTTCATGAATATATCCGTGAACAATTCAGTGGCCTCATTTACAGAAGTACTATTAAGAATCTCCGTCCAATCCACACAAGCTAACTCTGTCTTTACAGCTTCAAAATTAGTTTTTTCTCTTTGTCTTTTATTAGAAGATGGTTTTTGTAAAGAGTTATCCATTCCCAACATGATAGGATTATGGTCGGTAATATCAGCAGAACATATGATGGATTCATAGCTACCATAGTTACGAATGAAAAAATGATCCAGACAGGTTTTGTTATGAGTAGGTTTGTTGACAGCACTTGAAAGTCCCAGTTCGGCCATCAAGCACAAATACTCTGAAGATAGTTCATAAGTCTTAGATGTATCAGCTATATCAATGTTTATGTCTCCAGTGATAACCAAACAAGGACCCACAACGAGAGTCTTGAGGTTAGACTCCAAAGAGCTCAGAAATCTATTTGAATTGCTAAAACTTTCAGACGGAGAGCGATAGATGCCAAGTATTGATAAATGTTTGGATATAGCTACCAACAGGGAATTTGCTCCTTCAATATCGATTTCGACTACTTTTGGGGAAAATATGTTGCTAATGTAAATAACTACGCCACCTGCTCTGTTTATATATTTCGATGTTTTGAAGGCTGTGTATCCAATGATGTCCTTGATAATCGAATTTTCATTTAACCAACACTCGGTAAGAATTATAGCATCAAATTTAGTATCCAGCCGAGTAAGGAGTATTAAAAAATTGTCAAAATTTCGCTGTAGACTCCTTATATTAAATGTAAGAATTTTGGTATTATACTTTGCGAGTATGGTTTTGCTTTCGTCCGGGGATTTTAAAGTATGGCTTTCTTTTTCTATGGCTTCGTCAATTTCTTGTATGATGTCGTAGGATGCCATATCTATATAAGACACATAGTATAATAAAAGAAGCTGGAAACCTGAGGCCATACTTATGACTGAAATATAATACTTTTGTATTTTTATGTATATAAGAAATTATATCCTGTGGTAGTGCAGTAGAAGTAACGGTACAGTAAGTATATTGTTGTTGTGTGTAAGATTTTTGAATGAGTATTTGAGTGTGAGCTATAACATTACATTTACAATAGCGAATATTGGTGAGTAGACAATTAATAATGAAGCTATGGTTACAAATATTATAAAAAATCAGCAAAAGCAAATACATGCAACACAATTCTAGCAATAGTATTACTCTGATAATATTAAATAGTTTCCAACGTAAAAACATAAAGCATACTGAACAAAAGCACAAAGATACATATGCGCGACAAGCATTCCGCGCAAGCACAGCAGACTTAATAGAGTTTGGCTGTAAACTCATCGGCAGTAGCGATAGCGGTTTCTTTTGCCCGCAGGTTGACTGGGCACTTAACGCAGGTCATCGTAAGAAGCAATATAGACAGCAGGTTTACCTGTACGTTTGCGAACATATATTGAACCATTCCTTGTCCAACAGTATTTGAAATCAGCCTCCTTTGCACGTATTCTGGCATCGCGAAATAACTGTCGATTGGCTCTAGTAAGGCGCTCATTTATAAATATTTTCCGCTCAGGACTATTCAAAACGATGTCCTTACTATTCAAATCACGACGTGATTTGGCTGGCCCTCAGAAAGTCCTCTCGTATCGCCTTGCGAGTAAAACGGACTACAAGTGGACGTGGAATTTTATTTTCTTTCCCATCTCCGTTAGTACGGCGAAATCCGGTTCGAGCAACGCTATCTATGTCACCCTCTGTCATGTGTATTCCAATTTTTGAGGCAGTGACTAGAGTCAGATGATAAGGATTTTCATTGTTGACTTCTTCTAGTCCGATAATTTCGACCTCATTACCAAGAGACGATTGCGCTTGAATGTCTAATTGCCGTTGCAACTGCTCAACCGTTTGTTTTAGTTGGTCACATTCCCTTTGACTATCCTCTAGTGACTGTAGACGGGCTTCTGTGTTAGTAAGCTTGTCGACAATATCATCCAAGCGAAGGTGGCAACGAGCCACGGCGGCAACCACTTCCGACAATTCATTTTTAAACTCTGTCATCGTTTCCCGAAGGAGACGCATTTCGTTAACTATTGAATATGTATCATCGTCGTTTGATTGGTCACCGTTTCTACGCGTTGCCTTGCGGATGGTGACGTTACTTGGAGATGCAGTGGAGCGTACCGGGGTCGAGGAGTTATCTCCGCCTCTTTTTGTAATAGCCTTGCAGTCAGGGCAGATCCATGACTTTACTGATTCCAGCGGCAGATTTGTGGCATTAGTACATAGTAAATGAAATTTTTTGTGACAGCGCTCCACTCTGCATATGATGAAATCGTCATCTCGAATTACCTCTGGGCAAGCGGCGCACGTAACGTTGCCTCCGGTCCTCGGCATATTGCAACCTGTACTATGATTGTAGCGACAGGAAAGCGATGAAAGTCGATAATTGTCGCTTGTTACGTGATTTCGTTGTACAGAGCCCAGCGACTTGTCCGCAAGGATGAGTCACGCGTAACTCGCCGGGTCGTGCTTGATGTTTACTTAATTGCACAATGGGTAGTTTGAAATTTAACTGATACTCAATCACTTGTCACGTTAATATCTTGTAAATTATTAGAAATTATATAATTTGTGTTCAAAATAATTAAAGAACGTGTTGTAATTAATGTTTTGATATACGTTTCAACCAAAATATCAAACTTTAGATCACAAAAGCTATTTTATAACCAGGAATACAAACAAACGCGTACGTACTATAGGCCGTTCTATGACTCCTATTCTTTGGACAACTATTCTTTGGAATCAACGTCCAGCAGCAGTATTTCCGAACCGATACGACAACATAACCTTCAAGAAAAGAGTAAGTATATTCTTTTTTAAAAGGCCGGCAGCACACCTGCAATGCCGCTGGTGTTGTGGGTGATCATGGGCGGCGGTAGTCACTTACCATCAGGTGAGCCGCATGCTCGTTTGTGTTGTAAAAAAAAAACAGATGGTCTCGAGGGAGTTTAATTTTCTGGACTATGTTAAATTGTTTATGATATACACCAACTCCTCCGATGGCGTCAGAGGATTGTTTAGAAGCATCTATATAAATATGGTGATAATTGTCCCAATTCTCATCAACTGTAGCGTTCAAAACAAATTATTGGCATTAGGGTTTCCTTTTCAATACCTATATTTAAAATAATATTGGGTATTGTAAGCAATGCACTGAAGTGTATAGAATAAATAGGTAGTTTTAAACTATTATGTGTAGGAGCAGATAGAGCGGTATATGTGTCGTAGCTGTTTACTAATATAGGTGGTTTCTTATGTTTCCAATGAGGAACTGATTTTACTCAATTTGATAATCTATTTAATTTTGGTATAAGAGGATGATGTGAAAACTGTAAACATCTGATGAAATATCTATCGGCCAATAATTTACGTTTCAACTCTAGACTCTAGGGGGCTCGACGTATTAAACGTTCACATTTTGCAATAATAAAATTACAATGAGGTACGTCAGTGAGTTTAGAATCTAATATAATCCCCAAGTATTTAAACTCATTGTCAAGTGGAATAATTGAATTATTATATATATGTATATTTGGTGGTGAACGCAATTTCGTGAACAATACAGCTGCGCTCGTTGAGCTCCATAAAGTTAAACCATGTGAATCTAGCCCAATTTGTAATAAGCGAAGAGCATTATTTACTAAAAAGCATGCTTCATCAATAGAGCTGTGTACTATAACAGACTTTGCTGATAGATAGAAATTCGTTGCGACCAAAGACAATTATTATACTTCTGTGGTAGCGATTTTACTAGTTATGTGACAGCTAAAAATCATATCATAATATTTTCTCTCAATGTTTTACAATATTTAAAATTGAGCTTAGTGCTTTCTCTACAATGTAATTTACAAAGCTAAATTACTATATACTTAATGTATTATTTCTATGTTTTGCTGTTAGATAATAAATGGTAGTACTATTTGACAAAGAATTTGGAATTTGTAAGTTAAGGTGATCTTGCTAAGTAATACTAGATGCTATTATATTATCTGTAGGTAATACGTTTCCAAACTATCAATCAATCAACTGTCAAACTGAAATGACAAGTGTGACAACTGGTAGGGGTACCTAATTATTTTATTATTTACAATTTATCATGTTTTTATCTTATTTACATTATTTACATTTTTTTTTAGTAATTACGTAATATATGATACATTTAACAGTGCGTCCTTTATCCTACATCAGACAATTCAACGTGAAATATTTTAGTGAAGTAAGTTATTGTGTTTAAATATGTGTAAGTAAATATTTTACCAATGAAAATTGAATAAAATTAATAAAACAGTTTCGAATAACAAAAAGAAACTTATGATAACAAAAAGTCAGTTAAAAAATCGACAATACTTGTATAATGTAAATATATAAAGTCGTCTACTTTGTTTAAGAATAAAATTTAATGATTAAGTTTTGTCTAATATATATTTCTGGGGATGGTAATAATTACTGTTTAGTAATTTTTCAAAGATTACTAATCGATGAACTAGTCTTAATAAATATTCAGTTCCTACATATAATCTTTTTATTATAATTTTAAATAATGTTACTCTTTGTAAAGCGTAAAATATATTGACCATTTTTACCTCTTTAGATGACCCATAAAGTATTTGTCTATGGTACACTGAAACGTAACGAGCCTAATCATCATTGGCTAACTGCACCAGAGAATGGATATGGTAAATTCATTGCTGAGGGAAGGACAAGAACAAAATATCCATTGATTATAGCTACGAAATATAATATACCATTCCTTATTTATAGTCCTGGCCAAGGATATAATGTTAGAGGTGAGAATTGTATTTTTTTTATAATGCAGAGGAAAAGCGAGCATGCATCTCAACTGATGGTAAATGACTACTGCTTCCCATGAGCACTTGCAATACGGATGATCGACTTTTTAGGTAGGAATGTGCCTTTTCTTTAAGGGTTTGAATTCATACTCATATCTATTCAGGAATACTGCTGCTGTGCATTGAATTATTGTATAAGAGAAATTCTACCCTATACTACCAATCTGGTAGCTAGTTCAGTACCACTTAAAGTACAGATTTCTTATCTCATAAAACATCTTGATCAGAAAATGGCAGAAAATTAAGCATTGTCAGACTAATCCCGACAATGGCATGGGGCAGCAGAGCTGAATGGGCACCCAGTAATTAAAATCTTTTAAGTAAAATTTATTTTACACTTAAATAAATGTTTAAAGAATATGGATGTTGAAAATAAAGGTGTTTTTTTTAATGGGTGATAATGGAATGGTAACCCTGCTTGCGCAATCGGTATACACTGGCAGGGCACCAGTGAAGGATGATAGATGAGGATGAAGCAGGTCAGTTAGCCCATTGTGATGAATTCAACAAGAATTGTTCACGATGGTTTCCAGGGGGAACCATGTGGAGGTCGACCTGATAGTGTATTGCTAGCAATGGGTTCATTAAACCCCATTACTAACAATCCCTTCCCCCCAAATAAAGGTGGTTGGTGCCCTCAGGCCTAGAGGCCCAGAGCGGGTTGCCCATTTCGCTACACTCTCCTCCTCCCTTCTGATACTTCACCACAGGTATAAAGTATTCATGTTTAAAAAATTACAACTGAACACTAATGCATATATTTACCCTCCTGAATTGTGGGGGAAAAATTTTGAATTGGTAACCCTAAATTATAAAGCACTAATACTTGCTTTGCATAGATTAAGAATAGGTACTGCCAATAAATGTTAATATTCTATAAAACTGATAGTTATGATGGTGTATTAGTGATGGGCCTACATAATAAATTAGCACTTTTTATTACTGCTATTTACAACAGTTACAGTTTTGTTTTCCAATATTTTTTTGTACTGACTTTACAGGTGAAATTTATGAAGTTGATAACATTATGTTAAGTAAACTGGACATATTAGAAGACCATCCAAATTATTATATTAGAGAAATAGACGATATTGAAGTTAAAAAAACGTAAGTACCTTGAAGGGACTATTTTTTTCTGGCTTTATCCATTTCCTTTTCATATATAACACCATCTAGTGGTAATTTTTTTCTATAGTTGGTATTAAATCTAACACCAACGCTCTAGGTCAATAGGTTTGTAGTGGACACACTATTGCTTTTAGATACAAATAATAAAACTCAAAAATTATTAAAAAAAAAGTATAATAAAAATATATTTCAGGCCCATATTATCAATCACTTATTCTTTTTGTGCCTACAATAAAAATCATATAAAAAAATTATCTGGTTTTTGTAAATAAAAAAAATACCAAATTATAGCTGTTTCGAGTGCCATTCCAAGTTTTCTTATTCCTGTATGAATATCGTCTTTTTTCTAATTTTCATGGAAATAATAACTAGGGGTATATGTAATGATAGGGTAATATCTAAATATTGTAACTACAATATCTATATATGGGCTTAAAATCGTATATATTAAATATAGGTTATCTAATATATAACGTAGAAATAAAGAACTAAATTGAAATAAATGTGGATATCTTACTGGTATGGGCGATATAAAAATAGGTTATGAATATTTTCCCATCATCGATATCTAAATGAACCCAATATATAGATATTGATGCGGTATTGATATTACCCATGTCTAATTGTTACATACCTACTCATGATTACTCAGTGTATTGTATAGTTTAGTGAAAGCATTTACATTTATAATTTTTACAGACATATATAATGTTGCTATAGTCAAGTAGGCTATAATACAGATAAATAAGATAATGTCATGTCTTTATTTATCTGACGACTTTTTTTTTTCAGAGACACAAACGATGTTGAAACAGTAAAATGTTGGGTATATTTCTTAAAAAGTTTTAAACAGGAGTTGTTGTCACGACCTCAGATGGATAATTACTCATCGGGAGGGAGTCATGGTCTACCCTACATGGAAAGGTCTAAGCGAGATCCTTCTTATAACTACCGAGCTGAGATTAAGGATTAAAATCTTAATTTATTACTAATGAATATAATACACGATCAAATATATAGTCACAATCAATTTATTATATTATATAGATAAATTGATTTGGCTACCTAGTGGTATTGATTTTAAAGTACTTAAACTTAATTCTAAAATATTAATTCGATAGTTTAGCTATGTACAGTAGTTCTAAAGTGTTTTTTCTGAAAATTTAGTTTACACTGATCCTTAGAATAATCATTTTACTGTGATATCAAATAGATATTTTAATTTTAAAGACATAGTATGGTGCTTAAAAATTAAGTACAATGATTCATTTTTAATAATAATAATTATCATTTACAATAGAATTTCGATTATACGAACATCGATTATCCGAATATTCGATTATTCGGACTTATTCTTCACGGCTCTAATTACCGATTTAGAAATGGTATTATGTATTAGTTGGGATTATATATTAGTTACTTAAAAACTACTTTTTTTTTATACAACTTAGAATGGCAAACAAGCTGACGGCCCACCTGATGGAAAGTGGTAACCGTCGCTTATAGACATGAGCAGTACCATGGACATCACAGAGTATACTGTTTCGCCCATGATACCCCCCATGTGTTGCCATTCCTGAGGACTCGGGTGTTAATCCTCTGTACCCAGTAAATTCACGCCATGAAATGAAAATAGACCATTTTTTTCAGCAACAATGAATCGACTTTAGAGGATTTGGATGATATTACAAGAAAATAGCATTATATTTTAAAATTTTAAGACAAATTTTTAATATACCTATTATAACGTTGACATTATACTAATGTTGAATAATATATTGTTTTATTTCGTATTTTATTTCCTAAAATATCCTGAATAGAAAAGTTAAATAAACTAAATATTGCACCTTCATCCTTAATATCTGTCTATTACAGTAATAGCTGTCCGTATTTGTTTCTGTTCTAATAAATACCAACAGATATTTTTTATTTCACTGTCATTGAGATATTATTAATTTAAGAAAGGTTTATTAATATGTATAAACATTTGAATTAAACTTTTGTTTAAATAAATTATAAGTAAAGTGAAAGCCGATATGGGTTGCAAATAAATTAATAATAATAATAAACTGGAGTGCCCTTAATTTTTCAAGACCATTAAAAAAAGAATCTTAATCTTTTGGACTTTTTTTATTTTTTGATGATTTACTCAACTTAATAAAAACATATTTATTAAAACACATATAGAGGTTGTAAAAGTATTGCCGTTGTATCGTCTGTCCGAATAGAATAATAGGTAGATTGTCTTATAAGAATTAATACACATAACACAATGACAGAATAACTTTTTTTATTATTATAAATAAACGAAATATAAATTTATACACATAGAACTTTAGATAATACGTAGTATGTTTTACTAAGTCTATGGGTAGAACGTATTCCATAGTTGTCACTAGTATTTTTTGAATACTCTACGCTGTCAATGTGTCAAAGTCATTTAACGTGTTATTTGATAGATAATGAATTTTGATTGACGTACAAGTAAAACATGCTTATTTTTTTATATTAGGTTAATTTTTAATTAATATCTTTCCAATATTTTTGTTATAAAATGGAGATAAGTCTAGATACATAACATTAGTACTGTTATTTTTTATTTAATTAACAAAATGGATTTCGCCCGTAGACAACTGGAGAAGTATGGCTGGACCGATGGTAAATATTTAACAATTTTGTTCTTTTATGACAAAATATAGGAATTGAGATTAAAGCAAACATGTTTTTGTAGAATTTCTCTCTTTCCTTTAGGCAAGGACTGTTAATTTTGTTCGAATTATTGTATGTTTGTTTAAGATTTTTTTATGTACTCACCATCACATTTTCTTGTGATTTTCTTTATAATCTGTATCATTTGTACTATTCGCGCTAAGGATCCTGGTGACTTGTAATGCAGTTTTAACATCTAGTATAAGCACCAGCTCCCACAAATAATATTGTTAAAATGTTCTGCAAGTTACATGTACTTAGTAAGTTCTTAATCATTTGTAGTGATAAATAAATAAATTTATAATATCAATACTTTTTGTATATCTAGCTACATAGTACATGCTTGACACACTGTTATTTTTATTTAACATATTTTATACATTGGAGAAAGTGTTATAAAAATATGAATTAGATTAGTATTGTTTTTACTTATTTAGTAATAAAAAATGACTAAGTGGTCATGGCTGGAAAGAAGCCATATAGTATATATGAAAAAAGAAAAAGAAATATTTGAATTTTTTTTTGAAAAAAAATTTGAAAATGAAAGTTTTGGTTTGAATGGTGGGATATGGCGTGAATTTACAGGTTACAGAGGAATGACACATGAGTCCAGGAGTGGCAACACAACAGGGATATCATGGGTGAAACAGTATACTCTGTTATGTCCATAGTACTGCTCATGTCTATAGGCGACGGTTACCACTTTCCATCAGGTGGGCCGTCAGCTTGTTTGCCATTCTAAGATGTATAAAAAAAAAATATTGCTATATATTATTATTATAGTTTTTTCGCCTCTTTAGTGGTCCCCAGGGGTGAAAGCTCCATCTTTTTCCATTGCTATATGTTATGCACCCTTAATTAATAGTTATTATTTAACTATGTATTTATTTGCAGGTAAAGGCCTAGGCAAGCACGAGAATGGAATTTCAGAAGCACTAAAGCCAAAATTGAAGCGTAGTGTAACCGGAGTGGGTCATGATGCTGCATCAGATTTTACAGAACACTGGTGGAGCCAGTTGTATGATAAAGCTGCTGGGAATGTGCAGGTATCTTTAATTACTGAAAGGAAGTCTCCAATTTGCATGTTGATTGTTTGTTCAAGCACATATCACATTTAATGAGGGGGATAGTTAGTAGTGGGGACTGAGGGCCCATTGTTAGCAATATACACTAGAAGTCAGTATGGTTAATGCTTGGTGAATTTGTCACTTCATCATCATCTTTTACTGATGCTGCACCAGAGGGAGACTTTGTACAAAAGTTGATTGCTTGGGTACCTCTGTCCCATTCGTGTTTCAACCGTGAAGCAGTTGTGTTTGCATGGCTGTGTTTCAGTTTGAAGGGTGGGATATAACGTGAATTTACTGGGTACAGAGGAATAACACCTGAATCCTCAGGAATGGCAACGCATGGGGGGTATCATGGACAAAACAGTATACTCTGTTATGTCAATGGTACTGCTCATGTGTATAGGCGACGGTTACCACTTTCCATCAGGTGGGCCGTCAGCTTGTTTGCCATTCTGAGTTGTATAAAAAAAAATCCAGTATATATTGATGGTGTGGTGTAGGTAGGGTTACTAATATGTCCTAAATACATTTCATTTTCATCCCATTACTAAGGGGGAAAAGGGATTGTTAGGCAATGGAGTTTGACAGCCTCATTGCTAGCAGTATGCCCTATTAGACAGACCTCCACATGGTTCTCCTTGGAAACCATCGTGAACAATTCTTGTTGAATTTCTCATGATGGGCTAACTGACCTGCTTCATCCTCACCTATCATCCTTCACTGGTGCCCCGCCAGTGTATACCGATAGCGAGGGTGGCGTTACCATTCCATTATCACCCATTAAAAAAAGCAATGGGGCCCTTAGTTTCCATTATTAACAATCCCTTCCCCCTACTGATAGTGTAGGCATGGTTAGGAATATGTCCTAAATACATTTCATTTTCACCCCATTGTTAATAATGGTTTTTTAGTAATCTTTGAGGAATGTAACCTTAAAGGTTTTATTTAATGGATAAAAATGGAATATTAATTTTACCTGTACCATCAGTGTATGCTGGTGAGATTGTACAATTACTGTCACTTCATTAAGTACCTGATATTGGAAAATATTTAAATATGGTTTATGACATTTATTTCATATATAATGTATTTAAATGTATACAGAATGAAACAAATAATAAATAAAATACATACACACATATTGGTCACGCCTGTTTACCAAAAAAAAAATAGTATAATAATAAGTAATAATAAAATAAGTGTAAGTTAATCGAAGATTTTGGATATTGTTCTTACATTATAAAAAACTTGTTGCATTGAGTCACATTGTGTTGTATAATTTTTATGAAATGAAAGTAGTTTCACATGTTTTATTTTTAGTTGATGTTTTATAAATTACGTTCGCTAACAGTAGATATTAAGTGCATATTCATAGTTTTAAATTTCTCATTTAAGTGACTTATGTATAAAAATATTTAAATGTTGCAATGAGGTACTTTTTTTTCTTTTTTTTTAATGGTTTCCACCATAGAGACAATGGTGATTTTCTGCCAATGTCAGGGTTAGAAAATACTCCATGTAAATAATATTTAATCAGCTACTTATGGTTTTCAGGTGGAAGAAGTAAATGGTAAAACGAAACGAATAAAGGCAAAAGATGCTGATAATTTTGAGATAACAAACAGTACGTGGCGTTTGAGTAAGAAGAAGAAGGCGAACAATGATGAAGAATATTCAGAGTATTTTGTTAGGAAGGCGGTCCTAACCAGTGGTGGGAGTAAGGTAAAATTTAAAAGTATTTTTTGCTCTACATAATTCAACGACTGAATTCCACTAAAAAAGTAAGCTTCAATTGTTTTCACAAAAGACTACAGCATGGGGTTCTTCAAAAGGGAGGTAAAGAGGTTTCTTCAGGGTCGAAAACGCACGTAATACCTCTGGTATTGCAGGTGTTCATAGGCTACAGTAACCGCTTACCATCAGGAGGGCCGTATGCTCGTTTGCCACCTCAGTGGTATAAAAAAAACTAGTTGTTATGATTTCAAATCTAAACTATTGAACTGATTTTAAAAAAATCTATGGTATTAATCTGTAAGTATATCCTTTCAGATAAGAGTTATCCAAACCAATTTATAACTGATGGAGTTATGAGGTAACAAACAAAAAAATACAATCAAATCAAATCATTTATTGCACGAATATGGGTACATACATTAGATGAAAATAATAATTACATGGCCATTATTCCATATTCTACCATATCGGCGTGTACAATATAAAATTGAAGTAGTAATAAAAATAATGTGAAAAATAATAATAAAATGTAAGATCGAACTATTATAACAGATAAAACAATACATTATAACAGACCAGATATCACTATTCTTGATAAAGACAATAAAATAGTTTACTTTACAGACATAGCAATATGCAACACACACAGTTTGACAAAAACACACTCTGAAAAACTAGCTAAATACACAGATCTTTCTATAGAAATAAAATCCCAATGGCGAGTTCATACAGTAAAAACAATACCAATAGTTTTATCTACAACGGGTGTTATCCCGAAAACCTTACACACAAGTCTCCATACATTATGTATACAACCCTCCACATATATACTCCTCCAAAAAGCAGCAATTTTAAATACATGTCGCCTGGTCCGTAAGTTCCTATCATTGAACTGACATTCCAAAACACTTGGCTTTGGCCCGTGTCTAAAACTACCTCTAAATGAGAGATATAACAAATTAAATAAAATGTAAAAAATGTCAATAGAAATAATTAAATTGCATGTCTAATATTTATCATTGTAATAGTCATGTAACGTATAGTAACACTTGGCTGTCAAATATTAAAAATTGAATTGAAAACCTCCATCTTTTTGAAGTCGGTGATGTGAAAAGGACTCCATTTTCCGTGCTTAGCCTCTCACTTGGGCTATTGTACGTATGAATTTTGAAGTCGATTGATAAAAGGAAATTAAACTGTGCAAGTTATAATTATGATGAAAATAGTAATATTGATCAAATTGTAAATCATTAGGTGGTGAATATCAATGCGTCTGATTCTGATGAGGAAGTGGTGAAGAAAGATGTATTCAAAATGACTGATGAAGAATTATTCGCTGCTTGCGAAGGACGGACAGCTCATAAGTAAGATTTTAAATTAATAAATAATAGATATTCACTGTAACATCACAGCCTTATTTTAATACACTATCGGGACTTTACACAATAAAAAATTACATACATTAGTACATTACTGCAGCGGCCAGCAACTGAGGCATTGATGGACGAACGTGCAAATGTGGGCCGAGGTGTAGCCGAGTCACACATACGTGAGTCCATCAATGCCTACTTGTGGCCAAAGCTTGTATAGTACTTTTCTTAAACCATGCGTGGAAATTACATACACAATTTTACTTTTTAAGTTCAATGACGAATAACGAACAATAATAATTTTTCACGCGCCATAATGTTCCTTTGTTTTTTTTTTTCAATAAACAGCTTTCTATTTGTAAGCCAGTTCGAAATTTAAATAAAACCCTTTTATTAGTTACCTCCTTGGTAGCCATCTTTCGAAGTAAAAGGTCATTCCATTTTTTAAATTACAGGACAGATATGAGTTTACATAGTAATTTATCTGGCCGCAAAACACGACAGATATGGATTTTCATACAACTTTTGCCGGCCGCTGTCCGCATGTATCTGACCAGAACGGCAATTTTGATTTATTCGAAGAAGATTGTAAAAATATTGCTCACATTTCCAAGCATGTTTGTTTGTATTTACATACCTGATTTTTATTGCTGACGTTAGGACTTGGAATTCATGATTTTCATTTCCTTAATTCCTGATAGTGTTTTTAAAATAAGCCCCAGATGTTTCCCATTAACTGAACATAAGCTTTCCTCTTGAGGGTAGTTGCCATACTTGGCAGACAGATTGGCATGCTTGGCAGGCAGATTGGCAACTGCATTTAGGGATGTTTTTAGAGGGATGTTGGTGCCCATACCTCTCCCTCTCTTTCATATTGGAATGGAAATATAACTGATCTGAAATTACATGATACAGAGACATAAATGCAAATAAATATTCATTCATTCATAGCATCTTAATCTGGGATTGTAAATAATATACCCTATCAGATTGACATCCATGTGTGTTTCCTTTAGAAACCATTATGATTAATTCTTGTGAAATTTATCACCATGGGCTAATTGATCTTCTTCATCCTTACCTATCATCTCTCAATGGTGATCCGCCAGTGTATAACAATAGTGCAGGCAGGTTTACCATTCTATTATCACCCATTAGTCTTGGCTACACTTATATGCTGCTAGTTGAAATGGCATTGTGGAAATGTCAATTCTCTGTTTTCCTTTAACCAAAGGTTCTCTGTAAGAGATTACCCTGGTGATAGGATAATTTTTTTAAACCTTTATATTTTAATCTGTACTTCATGCTACTGTATTTCACTTGAATTGTTTAATTGTCATAGTATATTTTTATGTTTCTGCTGCAATAAAGAGTTAAATAAATATATTCTAAGATGTCTACAGGCGATGGTTACCATTTTCCATTAGGTGGACCGTCAGTTTGCTTACCTTTTTATATAACAAAAAAAATTCCATCTTTTTTTTTCTTGAGCAAGATTTTTTTTTTAATGAGTGATAATAAAATGGTAACTCAGCCTGCGCTAGCGGGGCTGAGAAAGTTACTAGATCATAGGCCCATCAAACATAAAAGTAATATATTTTACAGAGGCGCGCGCCACGGTCTCAAAGCAGTCGGCAAATTAGCAAGAATAGCACAGCAGGAGGCGGCGTTATTGAAACAGCCACAGTTCGTCGATTATTCTCATAGTAGAAAAATTGTACAAGATTTATCGACTACCGAATTGAATGTTGTTGAAAACATGAACTTAGAAAGTGATACAGATATGTCTGTGACAAGGAAAAAGAAAAAGAAAAGAAGAAAAAACATTGTATTAGTCAAAATAATTACGAGTTGGAAAATAATGAGTCTCCTAAAAAGGGCTTCCCTGAAAACCATGGGATTTCACTTGAGAAAGTTAACAAAAATATGGAAATATTTAATAGTGTTGATAAAGATGCAGATGAAAAGGTTAGTAAAAAATCTAAGCGCAAAAAGGAAAGAACTAATATAGAGAATGGTGAAATATGTGAAAAGGACAATTTTGTTAAAAAATCAAAGAAATTTAAAACCAAGAATTATGAAGATGATACAGAGACAGTTGTTATGGAAACAGAGCCTGTGGAAGAAGAAGAACGTATGGACATTTTAGAAAATTGCAACAAAAAGAAGAAAAAGAAAAAACATAAAAATGTTTAATCTGTGTAAATAAATGTTTTGTAAATGACTACTATTTCGCTTTTATTTGTGACTTCGCCCTTAGATAGATAATTTATTTGCATTACTTACTTATAGCACACAAATTACAACATAGATATACAAAAAAAAGCGAGATAACATAAATGATAAAAAAAAAATATAAAAGCTAAATATAATTTACGTTTGTGAGTGTGCCATAGCAATACAAAATGGCCACAACTCAGTTTATTGCTTCGCCATCAAAAGAGCAAAACACTGATATTCTGTTGCGGCCAAAGGGAATAGGGTAACAATAAAACAATACTACCAGATTATCTATATAGTAAACAGACAGATATGACAGTTTATCTAGCAGACAAATGGAACATAGAGGTAACTTGCTGAACCCTCGTCACCGACTTATAAATTGAAAATTACTGGTTTGTTCTTAGTTTGATAACATTTGATACCCCTCTCGAATACTCTGTAAAAACTACTCTAGTGTTGCTAACTTAGTTGTGTGGGGTAGATTTAGCTCTTTTTGTTTTTCTATTTTATGTTTTGATTAAAAGTTTTGTAAGTTAAAATATGAAACATGATCTGTCGAAAAAGAAAAACAATGCCAATGCCAAATATTAATTTAATTTGGATTGATGTAATATATATTGTGCCGTTTGGCTCTGATATAGAAAGGGTCACCCCGTTCTTTCCCTTGGATATTGTATGAGACAACTAATGGAAGTTAATGGTTAAGGAATGGGTAACAGGATCCCTTTTAAAACATTATCTTAACCTAATTGCAGTTGCGAACCCTCCTGCTAAGCGTGGCAGCTATTGGCAAAACTTCTTTTATGGGAGAGTTCTATGTTCAACAGTGGACAGTTAACGGTTCATACGATAGTAGAAATAATTCCGGCGTACTGCGCTTCTGACAGGGTTCAGTTTGTCATTTCCTCTCCTTAAGGAGAGAGATGTAAATTTTGTGTCAAAAATAATGATAATAATGCATTTTGTAATAAAAAAAACATACATACATACATACATATCTGTCACGCCTGTCTCCCATTAGGGTAGGCAGAAACAATGGAACGCCAAATGCTTCGATTCAAACAAACCTCTTTCGCTTCTTCCACATTCATCAATCTTGTCATACACGCTCGTCGGTTACGGGTACTTTTAATTTGGCCCTTCTTCAGCACGTTGCCTATTTGGTCGACATACGTCCGTCTAGGGCGGCCCCTACCGACATCTCCATTCATTCTTGCTCGATAAATCTCTTTCGTAATTCTTCTTTCATCCATCCTCTCCAAATGACCAAACCAACGCAACAGAGATCGACTTTCAGTCCACACTTCTCTCTAATCACACTGTTTGTATCTTTTAAAGTAATACCACACATACTTCTCAAAGCTCTCATCTGTACAGCAAATGCTTCTTCTGCCAATGATTCGCTTCCATACATGAGTGTTGAAGTCATTTTGAATAAAAAAAAGCTTTGCTCGATACATTTTTACTTGACATAATCGAGAGCAGTGCACCGTTAACACTGTTTCCCGCTTTTAGTCTCCTCTCAATATCTCTTTCACACTTCCCATCCCTCGTAAACAAAGAACCTAAATATAGAAACTCACTCACTTGCTCCACTTTTTCATCTCCTATCATAATCTGGCATGCCGTTAAACTTTCATTCCTCTCAAAAACCATTACCTTCGTCTTCTTCGCATTTATTTTCATATTTAAAAAAAACATATCTCTAGAATTCTCTACTTTAATTACTAAATAGACTAAATGATATTATAAATTATATTAAAAAATATATAAAATTTTTCTAAATTTGTCATAAAATTAAAAACTGGGTTGGCAACACTGATCAGCTGTGTAGTGTTGTGTCATTGTCAAATCAAAATTTTTATTATTTCTTGAAGAAATCGTTCAAAAATACCCAGAAAATGTCGATTGGAAAAATATTAGCGCTTGATAAAGTAGCGACGTTCTTCAATATTATCCGCCAAAATGGTGGCATAAGAGCTTCTCTTTACAAACTTTACAGGTAAAAATAATAAATCAATTATGTAATTGACAATAGGTTATGTTATCACAGATTTGTTTAATTAAACGCATACAGAAACAAGTACTTGATGCTTTTGAAATTGGAATACTAGTAGATTAAAAATAATGTTTTTAAATTTAGTGCCAGTGTTGAGAATATTTTTTTTGTTTCATAAAAATGAGCAATTATTTTTTTGTTTACATTCTTGATTATGTCTCTTTGTATTATATGAATTTTACAGTGTATCTATCACCTTGAATAGTATTCCCTTTATTTATAATAGTCATGCCACTTGTCAATAAATATCAAGTCATAAAAAAATTACACATTTAAAGGAGCTATAACAAAGTATGAATAAACATTTTGTAAATAAATAGACACCACTTTAAAGTGTCATCATGACCAAAAATTACATGGCATATAGCTGAGTGGTGCACAGTTTTAGTGCTTTTCTTTTTGTTTTAAAATATTTTTTTATTATTAAGTGTAGAGTTAAGGATTAAACACCTAAGGGCATTTATTGACCAAATATTTTTTTCTTTTTACTTTTTAGTTTATTTTTTTTTTTTTATTTTTTATTCATCAATTGATTTCATGGATTAAGTATAGATATGAACTATTTGCATATAGTGGAAGAAAATTGAATAAATATAAAAAAATAAAAATAAAAGAGGAATGGAGCCAGAATGTCTATTCCCAATATGAAGCTCAAAATCCAAAATACTACATAACAAATTAACTAACATATACATTAAGATTTCTTGTACTAACCATAATGTAATTAATACAATTTAAAACTATTATTGGATATAAGAATAAAGAGGCTTTATTATTATTATGAACTATTTGTAGTTTTTGTAGAAAGTATGTAGAAATTAAAGAGTCATGTGTTTCCGGTATAGAATAGGCCAAATCTCCCTTTCCCATGGGCGTCATAAGAGGTGAAGGGAAATTAATGGCAGAGTAATGGGCAGCAGAGTTCCTGTTAAAACATCATGATTTCCATAGTACTGTTCATTTCTATAGGTGACGGTTACCATTTTCAATCATGTCGGCTGTCAGCTTGTTTACCATTCTAGGATTCATAAAAAAAAAAGATAACTTTAATACCACCATTTTTTTATATTGTTAAACACCCTTTTGTAGTAAGACATGTAAATATGTATTTTACATTTGTCTATGGCAAGTTAGACTTTTTTTGTGGTAACATTTATAAATTTCAGACAGGACGAGCTGAAGGACGGAGTTCTAGTTGGCGAGGACAAATATGGAAACAAGTACTATGAGAACCCTCGGTTCTTCTACGGCCGGAACCGTTGGGTGGAGTACTCCGACAACTATAACATGAATTATGATGGCAGTCAGGTCAGAAACTAACTGTAATATTACTATCATGTAAGCTCCCCCAAGGGGTAGGTTTGTAATCAGAGTGGAGAGATAGCTGATGTGATGTTGATAATCATCAATAGCAGTATGATGGTATCAATGATTTTGAACTACTTTTTTTTTTTGCAATTTACAATGTTTATTTACATGTTTACTCCATATTGATTCATAACAGAGTATTTTTTGTTGGAATAAATGTTAATTGTCTTTATAAATAAGGGAGATTAACGACTCACTTATTTTGTGTTATTTCATGCTCTTTGCTGCTGTTCTCTTCTGAGTTCATTAATCTTCCATATTATGAATATAATAAAAAAAAAAAGTACAATAGAATATCAAAAAACATAAAAAGTGTAGATGATTCTAAAAAGTTTAAAATAGCTCTAAGAAAATATTTAATTATTTAAAAAGTTATTCTAAACTACAGGAATTTTTCAATGAGAAAATTTAATTGTATTTGTACCTATTTGTTTCAATGTAATAATGTTTTATTTATGTTAATTCACGACTACATATATATAATGTAAAAATTTATTTATATACTTTATGTAATATTTATTAATGTGATCGCTGCGCCCTTCCAGGGTTCATATTGATTCTTTACCTTTAATAAACTTAAGACCTATATTGTTACAACATGAAATAGCAATAAATTATTGAATTTAATTGAATATTTATATAGACATTGAATAAAAATTAACATAATCTTTAAAAAAACAAATGTTAGTTGTTTATCCCTTCATTGCATAATGATGGAAATTTCCATCATAACATTGAATGCCCAAACATTATATAAAAGAACAAGTTCACTTTGAGTTGATCGTGTCTGGATACCTTTTTAATGTCCATTGCAGAAAAAAAAAGAACCATAGTTGTCTAATTTATTTTTTAACCATTTTTCTTTTAATTTTGAACATGAATTATATCACTTTGATTTATTTTATCATTAAAAAAAAATCATGCAAAGAAGAGTTATGGAACAAAATTGTAATTATTATTAATGACTTTTTTTTATTTTTATTTATTCCTTTCAGATCCCAGCTGAATGGTTTGGTTGGATGCATTACAAGACCGATCTACCACCGCACCAGGTAATTTGAAACTTCAAGATTTATAATGATTATTAAAGATTTTGTCCCAAAAAAAAAAAGACTGACTTCAGTTTTTTTTACAACTCCATATTTAATTTCAACCCCCTTCCTCATTCCGCGAGCTTTTTGACCTCTCGTATAGCCTGTTAGGTCAATTTCCACGTGGTCCCCACTGGAAACCATCGTGCTGAATTCCAGGCGTATTCTTCACGATGGGGTAACTGACCTTTTCTGATTTTGTCACAATTGAAGTCTATTTTTATTTATTTTTTAATTATGTATTTGTACTATTATTGAAAATCAGCAGACTGTCTTATTTTTGGGTTAATTAATCATTACTTTTTTCTTCTTATTTGTTATAAATGTATCAATATATGCTGTGTTTGCGTATAAAAAATTGTTAGTTCTAAGTTTTATAATTGTATATATATTTACATTTTTTTGTGGAAACAATTGTTGGTGAACCTAAATAAATAAATAAATAAAAAAATAATAATAAATTACTTTAATTTTTTTTAATGTCTATTGAATTTGTCTATTTTTTTTTTTCTAGGATCCCAGCAGACCTCATTACAAATGGATGAGTGACTTCACAGAGAACTTATCGGGTACCACCGGCCAGTATACTCCATACAGCACCACCAGACCCAAGGTTGAGGCATGGGTGCCAAAGCCGAAGACTAGCCAGTAATTGAAATTACCACACGCTTATTCTGTTATGTACTAAAAATCTAAATCTATCTCTAAAAGTCTTTTGTTTTAAAAAATCTTTATTGTACATAATTTATATTCGACTTATTAAATGATTTAATTACAATGGCAGATTTATCCCATAAAGGGATCTCTTACAGTCAACCTTTGAGAAGCTGAAAGAAAACTGTAGAAGGTTCAAGGGTAAAAATATAATTCTCTAAAAATTTAAATTTATCTGTAAAATATATTATATATATATATATATATATATATATATATATATATATATATATATATATATATATATATATATATATATATATATATATAAAACGTCTGTTTGTCTATTATAAAGACATGTTTACTATGGGTAGGGTAGACAAAGTAATTACATTTCAGAACTACACAATACTGTTTGTTTCAATGACCTAGTTTTAAGTAGAAAATTAAATAAAACTATTTATAAAATTATATAATTTGTTTTATTATATGCGCTAACGGAAACAGCTGGCGGGGCACCAGTGAGGGATGATAGATAAAGATGAAACAGGTCAGTTAGCCCATCCTGACAAATTCAACTAGCCACGGTGGTTTCCAAGGAGAACCACGTGGAGGTCGACTTGACAGGGTAGATTGCTAGTAATGGGGTCAAATAGCTCCATTACTAATCCCTTTCCCTCCAATGTAGGTCAGTTAGCCCATTGCGGCGAATTCTACTAGAATTAACCACGGTGGTTTTCAGGGGGAACCGCGTGAAGGTCGCCCTGATAAGATGTATTGCTGGCAATGGGGCAGTTAGACTCCATTACTAACAATCCCTTCCCTCCCCCTCCACTGGTTCCCCGTTTTTTTAATGGATGATAATGGAATTACCATTCCAAACCCCGTTTTCGCTAACGGTATTGGCGGGACACTAGTGAGGGATTTTTTTTTGGATGAAAATGGAATAGTAACCCCGCCTACGCTATCGGGATATGCTGGCGGGGCACCAGTGAGGGATGATAGATAATGGTTTCCAGGGGGAACCGCGTGGAGGTCGATCTGTTAGGGTATATTGCTAGTAATAGGTCTGTTGGATCTCATTATTAACAATCCCTTTCTCCCCCCACTGTTATCCCATGAGCCTTTACCGATAGCACAAGTGGGGTAACCATTTCATTTTCATCCATTAAAAAAAAAGATATTTTTTTATTCAACTTAGAAAAGCAAACAAGCTGACGGCCCACCTGATGGAAAGTGGTAACCGTCGCCTATAGACTTGAGCAGTACCATGGACATAACAGAATTTACTGTTTCGCCCACGATACCCCCATTCCCGAGGACTCGGATGTTATTCCTCTGTACCCTGTAAATTCACTGTCATATCCCACCCTTCAAACTGAAGCACAGCCATGCAAACAATAATACTGCTAGCAGTGGGGCAGATTGTCCCCATTACTAGCAAAATACTGTTCCCTACTCATTGGTAGAAAGAGAGACATTATTGTTTTTCAGTTGGTGTTATTCTCTGCGGATACAGTACCGAAATGAGTTAATTCGTATGGCCGGGCCCAGTTGTTACGTCCATGTATAAAACCAGTTCGCAGCGCCACGGGTGTGGCCAGTGGCTCTCAAACTTCATAGTCACACAGTATACTCTGTTATGTCCATGGTACTGCTCATGTCTATAGGCGACGGTTACCACTTTCCATCAGGTGGGCCGTCAGCTTGTTTGCCATTCTAAGTTGTATATAAAAGAAGTCACAATATTACATTGGGCGCAGATATCGCAGTGTGTATTAGTATTCCAACAGTGCTCTTCATGTGTTTAGTCTCTCACGAGATTATAAAAATAATTATAAAAAAAAAAAAAAACTATTTAAAAACAAGTTTATTTGGATTTACATGCAACGGTTACCACAGGTGGACCGTCAGTTTGTTAGACATTTTTAAGTATTAACCACGATGGTTTTTAGAGGGGAGTGTGGAGGTAGATCTGGGAGCTTACCATGAAATATTTCCGAAATTTCAGGGCCGACCGAAAAAAAGTCGATTGCTTGGGTACCTCTGTCCCATTCGTGTTTCAACCGTAAAGCAGTTGTGTTTGCATGGCTGTGTTTCGGTTCGAAGGGTGGGATATGGCTGTGAATTTACAGAGTACAGAGGAATAACATCTGAGTCCTCAGGAATGGCAACGCATGGGGGGTATCATGGGCGAAACAGTTTACTCTGTTATGTCCATGGTACTGCTCGTGTCTATAGGCGACGGTTACCACTTTCCATCAGGTGGGCCGTCAGCTTGTTTGCGATTCTAACTTACTAAATTGCTTTAATGATATTTTGAGCCGGTATCCGCAATTGGATGTATTTGCCCCCAACTTGCTGGAGTTTCGTCGGATGACCACAGAGTGTTTGTGTGAGAGATTTAGACTCTAAAGTTATTTGTAGTTAAGTTAAATCTTTTTTATATCATTCCTTTTATGTATGTACATATATTATTCCTTTTTTTATATATGTTATTGTACTGATGCTTTCCTTGGCGAGCGTATTGGAAGACTAAAGCTCATACATTTGATGTAATAAATAAATAAATAATATATATCGTTTAAAAATATTTAAAATGTTAAAATATCGTTCCTTTGGACTATTATGGTAGGATTTATGACGAACGAAATGTTAAGCTCCATTCACTGGCTCGATTTCGGTACGAACGAAAATACGAAATTGTGTCCGAAAATTCGGAATTTCATTTCATGGTAGACCCCTAGTTATTTTGATTTAAAAACTAAACCAGTAGAAATCTGCAAGTATGTCTTTTTATATAAGAAAAGATTTATACCAAATCTGTTTACAACTGATGGAGTTACGAAACAAAAAAATAACATACAACTGAATTGATAACCGACTTCTTTTTGAAGTCCGTTAAAAAATGGTGTCACGTCTCACTCAGTTCCGTGTTTACGGAAAGGAGGTTTATTTTTAGATAATTAGTCTTGGATTATGGTGGGAGTGTCTATTCGTATTTACGTAACAGTTAAGAACAATCATTAGTTATTTATTAAAAAAATAACAATGTAATTACATTGTGTCCGAAATTATATATTATTTTCTCAAACATGCTTGGAAATGTGAGCATTATTTTACCAATCTTCTTCGAGATAAATCAAAATTGCCGTACTAGCCAAGATACATGCGGGCAGCGGCCGGCAAAAGTTGTATGAAAATCCATATCTGTCGTGTTTTGCGGCCAGATAAATTACTATGTAAACTCATATCTGACCTGTAATTTAAAAATGGAATGACCTTTTACTTTGAAACATGGCTATCAAGGAGGTAACAAATAAAAGGTTTTATTTAAATTTCGAATTGGCTTGCAAATAAAAAGCTGATTATTGAAAAAAATCAAAGGAACATTATGGTGCGTGAAAAATTATTTTTGTTCGTTATTCGTCACTGAACTTAAAAAGTAAAATTGTGTTTTTGATTTCCATGCATTGTTTAAGAAAAGCACTATACAAGCCTTGGCCACAACTAGGTATTGATGGACTCACGTATGTGTGCCTCGGCTACGTCTCGGCCCACATTTGCACGTTCATCCATCTATGCCTCATTTGTTGGCCGCTGCAGTAATGTACTATTTACAAAAAAGCATTAAATGAGATTGAATATTAGAAGCATTGTAGTAGATAATAATCAATACATATAATAAAATCGCAACTCGTCGCTGTCTGTACATGGAAGATGTATAAGAAAAACTAATTATAGGGAGGCTTTATAAACGCAATAGAATCCAAAACAATGATTTTTAGAATTTTTGTCTATACGTTTGTGCATGCTAATCTCAGAAACAGCTTAACCGATTTGAATACAGTTTTCATTGATGCGTTGCGGTTTACTCCACTTAACATTTAGCGTTTGTTTTATTTCAATCGGTTCATAAATAAAAAAGTTATATCAATTTAAAGAATGACATATAAAATGCTATAAAATAACCGATCTAATCTCGATCGAAATAAGCTTCTGCTAATTCAACTGAATTAGCTGAAGCTTTTTTTATTATATTTTTTTTTATACAACTTAGAATGGCAAACAAGCTGACGGCCCAACTGATGTAAAGTGGTAACCGTCGCCTATAGACATGAGCAGTACCATGGACATAACAGAGTATACTGTTTCGCCCATGATACTCCCCATACGTAAAACGTGAAGATCGACCTGCTAGAGTATATTAATATACATATATTAGTATAGTAATATATCAAGCATTAATTTCGCCCTGTAGACATATTTTAATGTGTGCACAAGTATAAAAAAGTATAAAAAACAAGTGCAAAATAAAAAAATGCTTCTATTTTTAATTAATTTTTTAAATACGTACAATTCATAGTGCAGGGAAACTCCTAAAATTATCGATAGTAAAATAAGAAAACTGAGACGTTTTGTGTAATTTATTTTCGTGAAAACATGTTGTTTGTTACAATATTTACGAGTAGCCCTGTCATTGTAATATATTGTATGGCCAGTTGGTTTAACTCGCGCCGTCTCCACGAAAGTTTAGGAAACATTGTTTTATAGCGACTGCTCATAGCACAATACAAACGCAGTGAACGGACCAAGCTTTTATAATATAATATCAGACGAAAATATTACTTAAACCACGCAACTTAACGCTCAAATTCTAATAAGATTAAATGAGTGAAGTCACACTAACGCAATTGATACAGACAAGCGACATCGAACTCAACGCGACAAGGAATAAGAACGTATATATTTTGTGTGACCAATAAGCTCAGTTGATGTTGGTAACTTTTTTTGCTTACACAGGTAAAAATATCTTGGTCTCGACTCGAATCCAGTCAAGATGCGACGCGTAACTTCACAGACGCATCTGATTGCACGCACTGCAGTCTGATAAAATTTTTTTTTTAGTGAAATTATTAAGAAAATATAATGATGTATCAAACAAAAAGTTATTGTTCACGATCTGTGGCGTGAAGTGAATGTTTTAGCGACCTCTATGTGGCATGGTTGTGTGTACATTTCTTTTATGTAGTGTTTCGAAATAGTTTATGCGTGCAAAAAGGTTATAGTGTTACAAAAACAGGATCTCGGCTTATGGTAAGTTTGGCATGTTAGAGGCTCGATTTTCGATGGTGTACGCTGTTATGGTGGACGGTGTTGAACAAAGAGATAAACTAGTTTCGAAAGTAAGCGTCTTAATTTTTGTTAGGCACTTAACTGTATAAGGATGTTTGGACAGGAAAGTTTTTTGTTGTCAAATAGAATAGCTTCACAGTCGAGGGTGGATAGTGTTGCAATTTTTTATCGATATGATTATTGTAATTTAAAATTGATCGATTTACATTGAATAATGGTATTACACTACTGTCTGTCCAGTGATAAAAATAATTAAATAAAAGTAAATCAAACAGTTTATTATTGGTTATTGGTATTGGTTTTCAAAATTAGTTATGGATTTTATTCATTAATCAATACC